GTGAGGCCACCATGGGAAGAGGTGACAGCGCTCTCACTCGCGACCAAAGGGTTGTGGTCAAAGTTTGAGCGACTGCGGCTGGCTGATGGCGTGTTACAGCGGGCATGGAAGGAGTCAGCTACGGGGGAGGAGAGGTGGCAGGTGGTGGTCCCAAAAGCATTGCGGGAGGCTGTGCTCCAGAGTACTCATGGGGGGGTGGGGACTGGACACTTTGGGGTCACAAAAACACTGCGCCGCCTCCGTCAGGGCTTTTACTGGGGGCAGCACAAGAGGGATGTGGAAGACTTTTGCCGCCGCTGTGACAACTGCACAGCGAGAAAGGGCCCCCCAGGCCGCTCTCATGCTCAGCTCCAACAGTTCCCAGTGGGGGCTCCCATGGAGAGGGTGGGAGTGGATGTAGTTGGGCCGTTCCCCACCACAGACAGTGGAAACCGCTGGGTGCTCACGGCCATGGACTATTTCACAAAATGGCCCGAGGCCTATGCTCTGCCTGACCAGGAGGCAGAGACCATCGTCGACGCCCTGACAGCGGGGATGTTCAGCAGGTTTGGAGCTGCAGAGTCCATCCACAGCGACCAAGGCAGAAACTTTGAGTCCCGTGTGTTCGCCACCATGTGTGAGAGGCTGGGTATGCACAAGACCCGCACTACTCCTCTCCATCCTCAAAGTGATGGCCTTGTGGAGCGCTTCAACAAAACGCTTGGACAGCAGCTGGCCATCGTCTCTTCCAAACACCAGCGTGACTGGGACAAGCACCTGCCTATGGTCCTCATGGCATGCCGCTCCGCTGTCCAAGACTCCACCTCCTGCACGCCTGCCCTCCTCATGCTGGGGAGAGAGATCCGTACCCCTGCGGAGATGGCGTTTGGTCGGCCCCTGGATAGCCCTCATGTTTCCCCGGGGCCGGAGTATGCCCGGAGACTCCAGGACCGCCTGGAGACAGCCCACACCTTCGCCAGAGAGCAGCTGCTGAATGCAGGTGTGAGGCAGAAGAGGAACTATGACGTGCACACCCGGGGAAGGCACTTTGTGGCTGGGGAGCTGGTCTGGGTCTACAGCCCGCTAAGGAAAAAAGGCAGATGCCCCAAGTTGGACAGTCACTGGGTGGGACCCTGCAGTGTCCTGGAGAGGGTAGGGGAGGTTGTTTACCGGGTGCAGCTTCCTCCCAGGGGGAGAAAGGTGACACTGCACCGGGACAGGTTAGCCCCATATAGAGGGGCCTCTTCTCCCCAAACCCCAGGAACCCCCACAATTCCCCTCTCTGGCAATGACATTCTCCAGGCACCCACCCCCAGGTGCCGCAGACAAGGCTCCAGACAGCCCACTCCCCCTGTGTCACCGCGTGGTTCCCCAGAGCCACGGACGGTATTACCCGTTCCCGCTTCCTTGTCCCCCATGTCCTTGCCTTCATCCCCTGGTTCCCAGAGGGGCACTCTGCGGCCATCACAGCCACGCAGGCAAAGGAGACCTCCGGGTCGCTTCAGAGACTTTGTTTGTTCCCTCGGGGACGAGGGACTTTGTGGTGGGGGGGCTGTGTAGCGACCCGCACAGACAGCTGTGTGTTATGTGTTAGGCTAGTAGATGGTTGTGTTGTACCTACCAGTACCCAGTGTTCGCGGGGTCCGACATGTCAATCAACCTGCTATCTGCCAATCACGGGAATGCCTGGAATGTTCTGATGCCGGGCATCCTGGCGGTTGGCGGAGTGGCGTGGAGGGGGGTTGGGCAGGGGGATGGAGCATTGGAAGTTAAGACCAGGTTTAGCCTTTGTTCTCTCTCTTTTTTACGTCTGGGCTTCACAAGAGAAGGTCGCGATTGGCTTGTGGGTTATCTTTCATTTATTTGGCGTGGGCTACGGCCAAACAGTAGCCTGTGTAAAGTTGGTTTAATAAACCGTCCATTCGTAAACTCAATCCTCTGTCTGGACAGTTGTTATTTTATGATCTAGTCAGGTCATTACAATATGTAGCCAACACAACGCTTAACACTAATATGAAATGAGCTACGACTTAAAATAAAAGCGTTCCTAAATAATAACACAAACATAGCAAGAATCACTAATCAAATAATCCAACAGCAGATCAGTAAAAAGTATGCGGTGTATGCGTATGACGTAGGCGACTATGGCTCCGGGGGGAGAGAGAGAGTGGCGGGCACTGGCACCTGTACCAGACTGGGAGAGACAGACCAGGGCAGGCAGGGAGCAGGGCAGCAGGTAACAGGAGGAGGCCGAAGAGAGGCCCTCAACTAGGCAGACATCCAGGGCAACAATAGATGATAAAATAATCGTCGGGCGAAAACAAAACCATGACGGTGATACAATCGTTAACTAGAACGGTAATACAATCCAGACCAGAATGGATGGTCATGTAAAAGCAGAAAGCGAAATGTTTGGTGTGCCCATACCATAAACCCCACAGCCATCATGGGGCACTCTGTTCACAACATTGACATCAGCAAACCACTCGCCCACATGACACCATACACACTGTCTGCCATTTGACCGGATAGTTGAAAACGGGATTCATCCATGAAGAGGACACTTCTCCATCGTGCCGGTGGCCATCGAAGGTGAGCATTTGCCCACTGAAGTCTGTTACGACGCCGAACTGCAGTCAGGTCAAGACACTGGCGAGGTCAACGAGCACGCAGATTAGCTTCCCTGAGACGGTTTCTGACAGTTTGTGCAGAAAACCTTTGGCTGTGCAAACCCACAGTTTAATCGGCTGTCCGGGTGGCTGGTCTCAGACGATCCGACAGGTGAAGAAGCCAGATGTGAAGGTCCTGGGCTGGTGTGGTTACATGTGATCTGCAATTGTGAGGACGGTTAGATATACTGCCAAATGATCTAAAACGAGGTTGGAGGCAGCTTATGGTAGAGAAATGAACATTCAATTATCTGGCAACAGCTCCGGTGGACATTCCTGCAGCCAGCTGCAGCCAGCATGCCAAGTGCATGCTCCCTCAAAACATTTGACATCTGTGTTGTGTTACAAAACTGCACATTTTAGAGTGGCCTTTTATTGTCCCAAGCACAAGGTGCACCTGTATAATGATCATGCTGTTTAATCGGCTTATTGATATGCCACACCTGTCAGGTGGATGGATTATCTTGGCAAAGGAGAAATGCTCACTAACAGGGATGTAAACATATTTCTGCACAAAACTTGAGAGAAATAAGATTTTTGTGCATATGGACATTTTCTGGGATCTTTTATTTCAGCTCATAAAACATGGGACCAACACTTTACATGTTGCATTTATATTTTTGTTCAGTGTAAATAACATTCCCTCCCAAGTATCAACTGTCAATCCAGTAGGGGCTGGAAACTATAGCGTTTCGATTGTTCAATAGCAACGCAATGTGGCGGAGTGCGCATCAAAAGTTGAGAAGGGTGCAACTGCAGGCCACAATTCACGGCGTTCCTGCATGTTGCCATTCCTGCATCTACAGGAACCCCTCTTTATAATTCTATTGGCCAATTCTTAAACTATGACTCCAGTACATAGGCGGGAGGCAGGGGCGCTCCACTACAGTAGATGGCGGTAATGCACCATAACATTGGATGCCAACCACCGATAAACCCCGCAAAAGAAGAGGCGAGACGACAACAGTAGCTAGCTATAGCTATACACTGATAGTGTCTTTCGCCCCTGCCTGTCGGACACTGTCTTCCCGCAGGAACGGCCCGAATTGCGGGCTGCAGTTGCACACTATTGCAAAAGTTCAGCTTTCCCCAATTTTGGTCCTGCCCTGTCCATGCTCCCTCGTCCATCCTCACATCGCCCAATGGTCCCCGCCACTTCGTTTCCCTCCATTGAAAATGAATGATGCTCCGTTGTTTCATCTCCCCCAACGCGTTCAAAGGATCTCTGACATTAATACAAAAAAGTGTTGTGGTGCTGCCACACTTGAATGAAAAATGCTGTGGCAAATGCTGCGTTGGCACACGTTTTCCGGCTGCCCTGCGTGGATGTGGCCATTATGAATACCTGCCACAGGGCGGCAGGTAGCTTAGTGGTTAAGAGCGTTGTGCCAATAACCGAAAGGTCGCTGGTTCTAATCCCCGAGCCGACTAGGTGAAAAATCTGTCGATGTGCCCTTGAGCAAGGCACTTAACCCTAATTGCTCATGTAAGTCGCTCTGGATAAGAGCGTCTGCTAAATGACCAATTATTATTAAGAATGATCTGTGAAATAACGCCATAGAAATAGTGATACGTGCACACGCCATGCACATGTCCAGAGATTCATGGTGATTACTTCAAAGCTGGCAACCCAACTCATGAAAGATAGAAATAGCACCCACAGAGAAGAAAATAAACGTGCCCGCGCATTCTTACAGTCAGCAAACGAATATAAAGAGCATCACAGTTTCACTTTGTTGTCCTACTCAACCTCAACATTTTAACAGTTACTCTGCTATGCGCTTGTCACAGCAAAGTCTCACTTATTCAAATCATGGATTTATTGTTCAAAGTAAAATTACCCAAATTAGGTCTTTCAACCCGATAATACATTTTTATTTAAATATTTGAAATAAAATATTTTTGAGTAATACAAATAGCCTGTGCCGGCTATAGTTGCCTATAATATAAATATATGTGGTTTCTCCGTTGCAAGAGCTCAAGATAAAAGCCTGCACGAGTGATCGAGCCCCTCAACCCTGATATGAATTCCCCACAGACGATGAGCAGAATTCCCCACAGACGATGAGCAGACTCCCCTCGAACAACGTGCGTCTTTCTGGAATCCTGGCGTGCCTGTCAGCTGATGGGAGCCAATCCGTGGCCCCTGACCGTCACTAGGTGGGTCTGTGTTTAAAACACAACGCAATGCCCTGATGCCAACGCATTCTCTAACCACTTGAGTCTCGAGTTTATTCCGCTGTCATTGGTGACAGCGCGCGATGACAATGCACCGGTAGGGGACCACAGTTTACGCACTGGCACCTTCAGGGGGACACCGACTGTGGAGAGCTTATGTCCCCTGGTAACGCGATGGATAACTCAAGCGTGGTGGTCACGGTTGTTCCGACTGCTGGCCAAACAGAATTCCTCAACTTCACCATAAATGACACCATCTCCCGACTCTCAGAAAGCTTCTCGGAGGAACTCGCCATGGCAGGATTACGCGTAACGAACGACCAGGTATCTCTGAAAGCCAACACTCTCAGCACTGCCTTTGCTGCTGGGCTTCGGGCTAAACTGCCGCCGACGGAACCCGCTCACCTGGTGATTGCCTTTTGGGATTCCCCACTAAGTCACGGAATCAATGTGTTTGTGGGGATTGTCCTGTGCTTCACCATGCTGGGGCTAGGGTGTACGGTAGACGTTAGCCAGCTTGGGGAGCATATCCGCAGACCCATCGGGGTGCTGCTGGCGCTGGTGTGTCAGTTCGTCATCATGCCACTGGTCGCCTTCCTGCTAGCTTTGGCATTCTCGCTCGACGATGTGGCGGCTATGGCCGTTCTACTGTGTGGCTGCTGTCCAGGAGGAAACCTATCCAACATCATGTCCTTATTAGTGAACGGGGAGATGAATCTGAGGTAACTCAAGAAATCACAACCTAACAAAACTAATGTATCACACCTTTTCATGTGGACTATAAAATTAACTTCAATTAAAACGATCACAATTTATAACTACTTTTAGATGGAAAACTAAATCTAAAATAATTTCTTCAAGATACCTATAACTCGAAGTTTAGGTACAATAAGCACGCTATTACTTGGATCTTCTGCATAGGCCTTTTGGTTGAATTTTACACAAGAGAATTAGAATGTAATTTTATGCATGGTCATATCTCCACAATCTCCAGCATACTGTTGGGACTCATGGTCCAAATTGCTTTAGCAGCACATCTTGATTTGACATAAACACCTCTTTATTATACAGAAAATAGTGTCATTGTTTGGGGAAATTAGGATCCATCACTTAGGCCTATACTAGCCTATTCGTTAAACGTCAACCATTCTAAAAGAATATTCGTGTGTGCTACTGGTCACTCTGCTTTTTATTTTTGGGACTCTAATGAAGTTAATGTGATGTTGTCTTTCATCTTCCTCTCTCCAGCATTATCATGACCATCTCCTCCACGGTCCTAGCACTGGTGCTGATGCCGCTGTGTCTGTGGATATACAGCCGCGCCTGGATCAACACCCCCGTGGTCAACCTGATGCCGTTCGGCGCGATCATCCTCACCCTCTGTAGCACCCTCATACCCATCGGCCTGGGGGTCGTGCTCCGGTACCGCTACAACCGGGCGGCCGACATCGTTTTAAAGGTAACTACAGAGGGCCTTCTCAAATAACGGTAGGGTATAGAAGGAGGTTTGGAGACGGGTTGACTGGTTCAATGTGTCATTGAAGTATTATTATTTAAAAAAAATTACATTCCTTTAGTACGTTTTATTGATGAACTGTGTAATGTCATATTTCAAAACTAAACTCTAAAAAGGGAAAGGGCAATTTAGGATTACAGAGCTGATTCTAATTCTCACTTTAAGAATGAAATACAAGATACAAATAGTTTAAAAAAAACAATAACAGGGTAGTTCTGCTAGTAAAATAAATTAACATTTTTATAATAGTCAGTTGTGGACCTTTTGACTGTGACATTGTGCATATTGCATACTTTTTGATGTCTAGCTTTCTGTTGAGACAAGCCCCATAGGGCAAGGTGACATCAGAGGCAGAGATGCACTGTACTGTCAGGGACAGCCCTTCCCCTTCAGTTGAACGTATCTAAAGGCAGCTCAGCCAGGAGAGGGAGAGGCACGAAATGTGTGACAGAATCATAGAACTGGATGAGAAATCCACAGAGGGGAAGGGAAACATGAAATCAGATAGATTTAAGTGGCCCATGCTCACTTGTGGCTTTCCCTTGGTCCTTTATAATATTGGTTCTGTTTGAATATCCTGAAAATTAGTCCATTGTTCCTTCCCTTTCCACCCACCTAATACAATCTGGGTATAGAGAAGGCCTGTCATAAAACCTGTTGACCCTGTGCTGTATGTTTCCCCAGGTGTCCCTGTGGTCTCTGCTGGTGACCCTGGTGATGCTATTCATCATGACAGGAGCCATGTTGGGGCCAGAGCTTCTGGCCACCATCCCTCCATCTGTCTACGTGGTGGCTGTCCTGATGCCTGCCTGTGGCTACGCTGCAGGCTACGGCCTGGCCACCCTCTTTGATCTCCCGCCCAACGTCCGCAGGACTGTGTCCCTGGAGACCGGGTGCCAGAACGTGCAGCTCTGCACAGCCATCCTGAAGATGGCCTTCCCACCACAGCTGATGGGGGGCATGTATATGTTCCCTCTACTCTACGCCCTCTTCCAGGCAGCCGAGGCTGGCATCTTCATCCTGGCCTATCAGATGTACAGGAAAGAGGTTCTACACAAACCAGACACAAACCCACTGGGGGACAATGGGGATATTGGATATAATAGGTTTGAAGATGAAGATATGGGCTTTGACACTTCTTACGGGGCGGTGACCACAAGTGACCCAAATCTCATCATGTTAGAGCCTTGTCCTGATGCTACTCCTGTTTAGTGTGCATGAGACAATGATGACCCACCGTGGGTGATGTGGTGCATACATAATGACATTCAGGTCTGCTCATGACATCGCTATCAAAAATAATTTTCATGTCAGCAACCTTTGACTGCAGGGCAGCAACCCTATGGGTGTGTACATGTCTCATGACAGGACAGAAGAATCAAAATATTATGGAGGGAGAGAAAGTTACAAAATATAATTGAAGCAAGCATAAGCCGTATGACCATGAAAAAAATATGAACAGGTTTGTTTAAGTAAAAAATGCTAGTATATCTGAGCTTACTTCAACATATTGTGTATGAAAGAAAATTGCTGTGAAAATGGAAATCATCAAAAATAATCTCTAAATTCATCCACTCTCACATCACAGATGCAGGACAACATTGTTTCACAAAGGTGTCATCATCTCACTTGCTTGTAAAGTCTAACATAATCATCTGATCTACATGACTAAACATTGTCAATTATTATTTTGCATTCAAAGCAAGTGTTCAAGTTCAAGTCCACTTGTTTTTGGTTCTTTTGGTGCCTATGGTTTCAGTTCAAGAAGAGACAAATAATGCAGTACAATCCATCAACAAAGCCTAATATAACTACTCCATATCACCATTAGTACGATGACAAACAGTCTGTAAAATGTACAACTGTGTATATGTTTATCAATGTATATTAAAATTGATTTGAAAAAAAAAAATCTACTGACACTCCTGCATTCTGTCATCTTGCTGCGTTTCATGTTATTTGCGACTTCAGAGTGATTGGTTTTTGAGGCCAATTAGGACTGCCACACCTGACTACAATTAATGAAATCGTGTCTTCAATCTATTTAAATTGGTCAACCAAATAACCCGAGTTGGCTTAGCAAAAATGACTACATATTTAGATGAGTCAATCGACAGCTATTTCTATTCATCTTACAACCCTTACTCTGGCAGGTATCCCAAACCAAGAGGTGCCGGCTGGAGAAACAAACCTTATTTAGCCAGCTATGCGAATACAGAGGCCTACTTTGATAACCACCATCGCGCGCAACTTAAATTCCTCTTATCCCAAATAAACCCCAATCTTACACCGAGGCTACGGAAAGCAAACACCAAAGATGTCGCGGTGCAAGTCAATCCGAAAAAGGATGTTTCTGTGCAGTGTTCCCTCGGCCCACGGACCCTCATGGCCAGAAAGCGAGACGCTTTGCGCAAGAGTAGACAAGAGGAGTCCCAGACACCCGGCAGTCCAGGGAGCTTTGTGGGAGGCGTGCGCTACCCTCGCACACTGGCAGTCTACTCACCTATCGCGTCTAGGAGACTTGCATCCTTTCTAGAAGATGACAAAGTGGAGACGAGTCAAGCACGGACAGGTGACCCACCTGAAACCGTGAAGATCGGGAAAAAGAATAAAGGTGAGAAGTCTGAGGAAAAAACCGAACAGGCAAAATACGAAAATACTGAGCCATGTACAAAAGCTAGTAATACTGACCAGTCAGTTACGACCGAGGACGTCAAAGCCAATCAGGATGGTTTGAAAGTCAAGGCCCGCGTGAGGTTTCAGGTGAGCCCCATGCTCTCACATATTTAGAATAGTCAACCTGGCTGAAACAGACCCACCCACTTTTTTTAGATTGACATGAGTAATTTATAGGTGGAAGCTGTGTAGAACATCGTTGTCAAAGTTTAGATCGAACGATATGGTATTCTCATTCTAACTGGACTTTTTACACCAGTCATTTTTCCCATAGGGGATTTTAGAAAGATTTCAAATAAATGTTGTGTTTCATGTAAGCATACCCAGGCGTGACGTTTAGATAACCATGTAAATCTCTCTTGGCAAGTTGACTTATCAATATTCGCTCTATTTTCTGATTCGAAAATGCTAATTAGCATCAAAGTAGACATCATTCAAAACTACAACTCCCTGCAAGTCTTCTCTAGCTGACACCTTTGCTAACAGGTATTGTGTCAATTTAAAACTTGCACAAGACAGTTCACAGAATTTTACATTTTTAAAGCAATTTAGCCAATTTATTAATTACTACATTTGGCTACCATTAGATAGTTAATCCAGAGATTCTTACCTTTCCCTCGGTTCAGCAGTCTCGCCCAGATCATGGCATTTTGTAGTTCTTTATGATAGCCACATTAGCAGCTAAGTAGCGTTTCATTTTTGGGGGTGAATATATGAAGTCATTGTCCTAGAGATTTACACGGTTATCAAAATGTCAAGCCATGGTAAGCCTACACGAAATACAGCCCTTATTTTAAGTGTTTCTAAAATCCCCTATGGGGAAAAATGAATAGTGGAAAAATGACTGGCACAATTTCCCTGTTTGACTGCTAGGTTGTATGGGTATTATGACACCTACTGTGGTACTCTATGCCATCCCTAGTTTCTGGAGCAGAAGTATGGGTACTATCACTGCAGAGACTGCAACCTGCGTTGGGAGAGTGCATACGTTTGGTGCGTCCAAGGAACGAGCAAGGTACAGTACGCTGGTCTATTCACTCTGTGAAGTATGCGTGTTACTAATCTGGTAGTGCCTCTAATCAGGTCTGTTACAGGTGTACTTCAAGCAGTTCTGTAGAACATGCCAGAAGTCCTTCAATCCCTACCGTGTTGAGGACATCACCTGCCAGGTAAGAATCTAGGCTTCTGTACTACTCTACATTGTTAAACTGACATACAAACCATGACTTGACACTATAGACTTGGGTCCTCCACTTACCTATGTCCACTCTGTCTCCACAGACTTGCAACAAGGCACGCTGCGTGTGCCAAGTGACCCCGCGTCACGTTGACCCCAAACGCCCCCACAGACAGGATCTGTGTGGCCGGTGCAAGGGCAAGAGGCTATCCTGTGACCTCACCTTCAGTTTCAAATACATAATCTAGCAGGAACCTGCACATTAACTTTCACCCCCCCCCCCCCCCCTAATACTTTTGAGATTTTTCTTTTCTGTTCTGTTGCCTTTATTTGCGTTATGAAGGTGATTGCAGGAAAACACTACTTAATGTTAAATAAAATGGCAATACCCAGCAGTCTACAATCTCTGGTATTCTTCTCCTCCCTCACCCAGTGTCTAGGATAACTGACCTGACTTCATACTCAAACAAATTGTCACATGCTTTGTAAACTGCTGTAGACTAACAGTGAAATGCTTACTTACAGGCCCTTCCCAGCAATGCAAAAGGAAAGAAAATGGAGAAATAATGTGATGAAGCAATAAGGCCCGAAGAGGTGTGGTACAGTATATGGCCAATATACCACGGCTAAGGGCTGTTCCTATGCGCAACGCGGAGTGCCTGGAAACAGTCCTTAGCCATGGTATATGACCAAATACAATTTCTCTGTAAATAAATGAAGACTTTCAGCATGCTTATACATTTACATTTACATTTACGTCATTTAGCAGATGCTCTTATCCAGAGCGACTTACAAATTGGTGCATTCACCCTATAGCCAGTGGGTTAGCCACTATACCAATTTTTTATTTATTTTTTTATTTTTTTTATTAAGGGGGGGGGGTAGAAGGATTACTTTATCCTATCCCAGGTATTATGGGAATAGAGAAGGGCACTCAACATGTACTGCACTGACACAAATGACTGATTGTTTGAAAGAAATTGATAAGATTGTGGGAGCCGTACTGTTAGATATCAGCCTTTGATATTATTGACCACAACCTGCTTTTCAACCTCCGCCATATCGTGGATTCAGTGCTATCTATCTAATAGAACTCAAAGGGTTTTCTTTAATGGAAGCTTCTCTAATGTCAAACATGTAAAATGTGGTGTACCGCAGGGCAGCTCTACTCATTTCTATTTTTACCAATGAACTGGCATTAAACAAAGTGTGTGTCCATGTATGCTGATGATTCAACCATATACGCATCAACAACCACAGCTAAGGAAGTCACTGAAACCCTTAAAGAGTTGCAGTCTGTTTTGGAATGGGTTGCCAGTAATAAACTGGTCCTGAACATTTCTAAAACTAAGAGCATTGTATTTGGTACAAATCATTCCCTAAGTTCTAGACCTCAGCTGAATCTGAGAATGGTGTGGCTGTTGAACAAGCTGAGGCTAAATTACTTAGATTACAATCTAAGGTAACACCGCCATGGTCAAAACATATAGATTCAATGGTTGTAAAGATGGAGAGGTCTGTCTGTAACTGCTACGTTTTTGACACCACACTCAAAAGCAAGTTCCGCAGGCTCTAGTTTTGTCTAATCTTGATTATTGTCCAGTTGTGGGTCGAGTGCTGCAAGGAAAGATCTAGTTAAGCTGGCACCGAACAGAGCGGCACGTCTTGCTCTTTATTGTAATCAGAGGGCTGACGGAAATACTATGCATGCCAGTCTCTCTTGGCTAAGAGTTGAGGAGAGACTGACTGCATCACTACTTTTCTATAAGAAACAATGTGTTGAAAATCCCAAATTGTTTGCATAGTCAACTTGCACACAGCTCTGACACACTTACCCCACCAGACATGCCACCAGGGGTCTTTTCAGTCCCCAAATTCAAGAAAGTGTCCAGTATTATATAGAGCCATTATTGCATGGAACTCCGTTCCATCTCATATTGCTCAAATAAACAGCAAACCTGGTTTTAAAAAAACCATAAAGCAACACCTCATGGCACAACCCCTCTCCCTTATTTGATGTAGATAGTTTGTGTATGTATTGATATGTAGGCTATGTGTGCCTTAAAAAAAAAATGTAGTTCTGTCCTTGATGTTCTTGTCTATTAATGTTCTGTATTATGTAATGTTTCATGTGGACCGCAGGAAGAGTAGCTGCTGCTTTTGCAACAGCTAATGGGGATCCTCATAAAATACCAAATATTGGCCATATACCACAAACCCATGAGGTGCCTTATTGCTATTATAAACTGCTTACCAACATAATTAGAGCAGTAAAAATAAATGTTTTGTCATACCCATGGTTTAAGGTCTGATATACCACAGCTGTCAGCCAATCAGCATTCAGGGCTCGAACCACCCAGTTTATAATAAATATACAATGTGTAATGATAACTTTGCTTATACACTGTACCAGTACTGAGTCGATGTGCAGGGGTACGAGGTAATTGAGGAAGATGCACTACATGACAAAGTATGTGGACACCTGCTCATCGAACGGCTCATTCCAAAATCATGGGCATTAATATGGAGTTGATATGGAAGGTAGTGATGTACTGTGCTGTACGCACTACCCTCTGTAGTGCCTTGCGGTTGGATGTCAAGCAGTTGCCAAACCAAGCGGTCATGCAGCCAGTCAATATGCTCTCAGTGGTAAAGCTGTAGAACTTTGAGGATCTGAGGTCCCATACCAAATCTTTTCAGCCTCCTGAAGGGAAAGAGGTGTTGTCGTGCCCTCTTCACGACTGTTTGTGTGTAGTGGACATGATAGATCCTTAGGGATGTGCGACACACTCCACTACAGCCCTGGTGAATGTGGGTGTGTACCGGCCTCCATTTCTGAGTCCCCGAGGGGAGGGTTGTCCTGGCACCAACGCCAGGTTATGACATCCTATAGGCTGTCTGCGTCGTCGGGATCAGGCCTACCACCATTCGTGTCGTCAGCAAACTTGATGTTTTAGTCGTGGGTGAACAGGGAGTACGGAAGGGGACTAAGCACGCCCCCGTGTTGAGGATCAGCGTGACGGATGCGTTGTTGCCTACCTCACACCTGGAAGCCGGGTCAAAGAAGCCAGGATCCAGTTGCAGAGGGAGGTGTCAGTCCAGGCTCCTGAGCTTAGAGGTGAGCTTGAAGGGCACTATGGTGTTGAACGCTGAGCTGTAGTCAATGAACAGCATAGGTGTTCCTCTGGTTCAGGTGGAGATGGCAGTGTGGAGTGCGACATCTGTTGGGGCGGTATGTGAATTGGAGTGGGTCCAGGGTGTCTGGGATGATTGTGTTGAGCCACGATCAGCCTTTAAAAGCATTTCATGGCTACAGATGTGCTACGGGCAATAGTAATTTAGAAATGTACTTGCTGTCCAGTGGTGCGCACATGTCAGTAAAGTGGGATAGACGCTAATCACAGATTATAACTATGCATGTGACAGTCAGTGGTGCAAGCTTATAGTAGAATGTCTGCCATTACCTGAGAATACCAAGTCAAACTAGGGCTTCCTGAGATTGCCTGAATTTACAATGGTCTCTTGAATTGGAACTAAAGCATCGTCTTTGGTTGTAGAGAACTGACTAGCCGTGCCTGTGAATTCTGGGTAACTCCAGGAGAGCTAACTAGACATGACTGTAGTGACGTCAGAGGCTCTTTATGCCCGACTTACCAGCCATTATAAACCCATTGCTGAGGAGTGCGAGTTTACTTGAGCTCAGAGCTCTGTAGCATGGTTCTAGCTTTAAACTCTGCTGCCAATGTACTGAATGTAGCCTGTTACGGTACAACTTACTACTCAGTCTGTTGGCTTCTCACCCAAATGTGCTGGTGTCAATGGTCAGTACATGTGGATAGTGTAGCCCTCCATGGTTAAACATAACCCTAACAATATAGTCTGAAAACAATGACTGAGAAATGTATATGATCAGGTTTTTATTTATCCAGAGAGGAGAAGGCTGGTATGTGAGATGACAAAAAAAACTAAAAGAAACAAAAAGGATAAAGTATTCCGGTAATGCACCTCTACATAAAAACTATATTTTCCAGGTAAATAATATATCCATTAAATAATTAAGAACAGCATTCAAATGCAACAGACAAATTCTCTCTGAGAGGAATGAGTACAGTGATCGTTTACAATGTGCCATGACAAGTTTCCTGCAACACTTTCAGACATCAAGTTAATGTCCTGCAATTCGGGAGGCAGCAAGCAGTGCCTTTTCAGAAGCAAAAGCAGAGCTTTAATGGCAGCAGTTACCCCTCAGAACACAGGGCCATGGCACACCATCAGTGCAGCTGTGCGCCGCTGGGATCAGCGAACATGGACGTACACCGGCCTCAGTTTCCCCTCATAAGGCTTTTTAGCGTGGCCTGTGCTGGGGTACAGGGCCAACATGGAGATCACAGTGGAGAGAAGGAATGCATATGACTGGGCTTGGCTGGGCTGGTCCAACGGGAAGCAGAATCTACACTAGCTAGCGCCTTTAACCAGTTCCAATGACCTCTGACCTCTAAGCACATGGACTGTGACTCCCAACAGGCAGGCCAGTCTGGGGAATTTTAAAGTTTGTGTGAAAGGATTATAATAGTGGCGCGGGTCATTAGTTACTCAATATCTGCTCTCGGTTTTCTCTTCTCGCATTAGCTTCATACATCTTATTCAGATTAACAGTGCATTACACAAAAGTACAAGGAAAAAATACTGGTTTTACACTATACATTTTCTAAAATATATACAGAGTAAAATAAGTTATTGATGTTTCCATAATGAGTTGTAGCATGTCTGCACCTCTGTGCAATTATATGCATGTGTGTGTGTGCGCAACCGTATACAAGAATATCCAATATATACCACACAGCCTAAAGTCTCTACAGGCAGCTACTTATTTGGTTACAGAGTGAGTTTCATTAGAAGACCTGTTGAAGATGATGCTCGTCTCCAATGCAAGTCAATAAACAGATACATTTATATTTTTACAGTCCCTGTGGGGAACAGCTCCCCTAGGGTTACAATTTCATGTTAAATATCCTTACATTTACAACCTAGGATGTTAGCTCTAATAAAAAATAGTACATTTCTCAAAAAAATATTCTTGCAGTGCTTTTCTCTTTCAAGCATGCTTTTGAAAATTCTTTATTTTTGTGTGTTTATGAATCCTGACAGGGACTGCCTGTCCTCTCACACATCCATCCGGTTTCCTTCCGGAATGACTAAGTCTCCCATGCTCCAACTCTACTGCTACGAGAACACAACACCACATCGTCTTCCTGACCAAACCCCAGGCCCCAACCAGTCTCCTGAAAGGGGCTGAGGCGGCCACTGGCCAATATGGGAGGCCCATCAGGTCACTTCCGCCAAAACGCTTCAGTTTAGCATCATCATCCCCCTTACCTCCCTCCTCCTCACTCCCGGGCCAGTCGTCACCAGTCACATAATACCACATTACTTATTGCAGCTGAATTTTGCAAGTTGGCTTATTCTGGGAAAACAGATATTAGCTTTAAGTATTTGATATATGTAATATATATTAATATGAGTCAGTTTTTCCCCACACATCCTTTAGCCCTTATAGGTGGAGTCTGTTCTGTCCTCCCCTGACATACCTCACCGTCTCCCCAGCCTCCAGAGCAGATGGGAGCTGTGAGTGGTACATGGGGGGGGGGGTTACTCTAGTCTAGTCCAGACCAGTCAAGTCCAGGCTTTTGGCCTGAAGGCTTACAGTCCAGTGCTGACCACGGTGGTCTGGGGGGTCTGGCTGGCCTGGGCCTTGCTCAGAGCCTCTCTGATCTGCAGGTTGAGCTCCATGAGGCGCCCGTTGGCCTGGGACAGGTCCCTGCTGGGTCCCACCACGGCCAGGCAGCCCGTCTGGCCCAGCGTCTGCTGACGGAAGTAGATGTGCAGGAGAGTCTGGACCGCGTCGTCGGACTCGTTCCCAAAGATGTCGTTAGGCCACAGAGACCTAGTGGAGAGAGGAGGAGAAGGGCATCAGCGCTGAGGTTTAAGAGTAGATACAGGTCTGTAGACTAGACACATGACAAGCCTGTGTAGTCTATACATTGAGGAATAGCTGTGGGATAGAAGATATGTTGTTTCTTTACCTGAAGGTTTTGACCTGTGTGAGGGCAGAGCCGAAGTCTCTGGCCCTCAGGGTCTCGATCAGTGATTGGATGGCCGTCTCAGTGCTGGTCTGGGAGGCAGCAGACACGCCCACATCCTTCTGTCCATCAACCCCAGACTCCGCCTGCTTCAAACAGCTCTCCAGGATGGCCAGCTCCTCTGACATGTTGGTCACCTTGGAGACACACACACCCGAAGGTCAGATAACCGCAGAGATAATCTCACATGTGTGTTTGTGCAGTAATGCAGTTAGTATTGACGTGTGATTAACTGGAATAGCTGGCCCTCTCTATGTGAGAAACAAGTCAATCTCATTCAGGGATTTAATGAGATTAAACTCCAGTAAAAATCCATAAGACAGCAGGGCTAGACCGCAGCAGAACATCCAGATAGGGACAGGCAGGCTGTCTGGTCTGCAAAATGGTGTGTGTGAGAGAGAGCTAGAAAAATACATATTTTAGAATGTTAACATCTTATCTTAAGGGCACATTTGTGCATAGTCATTTACAATAGCGGCTCATGACTTTACAGAACGACTATTGATGTTACAGAATCTTAAATTCCAAAACGCATGAGCATGTGTGTGATATGTACAGGAAATGCATTTAATTTAGCGTGTGTATTGTCACTGTTTGTTTCCCTGTCAGGGAAGATGTGAGAAATGCAGGCGGCCTCCGTGTCTCTCATGCTTTCCTGAACCAACCTGGGGAAGGGAAAGTAAAATAACAACCCACCATCTCCATCCCTTTGTTGACCTCACACACACGGGATGATGGGTGTGACCCGAAAGGCTCCAAGCTTGCTTGAGTGGGTGACTAGCCAATGTTTCTTTTAGGCTTGTCATCTAAATAAATGACCTAAACTGATTCCTATTACCACAGACTCTTCTAAAACCACCCACCTTTAATGTTCCACTACCCATACCCTGTTGAGTAAAGTGTTTGGGTGTAAACCCCCCAGCCTCACCTCTGCTTCTCTCTTGATGGTGTCCACACGACTGATGAGCTTACAGTAGGCCTGGAAGAGCAGCAGCAGCTGGAAGTGCAGCTTATAGAGCCTGCGGCACAGCTCCAGCTCCTACAGAGAGACCAGAGACGGTCAACACACACTACAGCCACACAGGCCTCTGGGCAGAGCAGTCATAATGATCACATGATCAGACGGATGGATATCCTGGGTTATCAAAAGCGGGAGGAGATGAAAGGGTTAAAGAGGCCCAGTGCGGAGTGGAACGATGGTCCCTACAGAGACCGGACGAGGCCCGGAGCCATAGGGGAGGGTCTAGCTAGCACTATTAACCAACCACAGGCTGTCATCATTAGCCATGGAGGACTAGGTTATTTACCGACCATCACCACCTGTCTGTCTGTCTGGCCCCCTATGGTTAAGGTACAGTATGTCCAAGCACAGAGATATACCGACCAAATATGTGACTGGAATTATCAAACATTGTCCCTAATCCAGGAAAACATGATGGAAAAATGGGAATTTGAACAGATATGGGAATGGAGCAATAAGCATGCAAAATGAAGGTAGACTAAACATGGCTTCACAGCTCTCTCTCTCTCCATCCTCTCCTCCCCATAACCCCATCCCCCTCTCAAATCAGGTAGACAACTACTACAATTGATTTTATTTGAGAGATTTTACATCTACTGTCAGATCAGTAGGGAAGAGTTAAGAAGTTGATAAGATGATTCAGTCAAAGGCGAAGCCAAAAGTAAAGCATATATCTGCGTACATAACGATGATAAACACTATGATTTGGGTAGATGGGGATTGTAGCAGAGTTATATGAGAGAGGGGTGGAGTCAGAGTGGGAGGGCCCAGGCCGTGGTTGGTTGACGACAGCAGCAGGTACACATGGAGGGATGAGATGATCAGTGTGTTGTCCGGACATCATGATTATATTAGAGTCTAGAATACTTAGAGAACCACTTACTGCTAGTTTTTCCATTTGCTAAGCAAGAGGGTGAGCAGGTCACAAAAACAACAAACAAAACGGGAAGAGAGAAAGACCAAGAATTAGTGAGCCTTCACATCGCAACCCTGATACAGTGACCTGACAGGAGTAACAACCACTCCATCCTTACACCTGTTCCCAGGTCAGGGGGGCTCAGTCCCAACAGTGGTTCTTAGAGAACACAGCTCACATCAGCTGGTCTAGGATCAGTGTGTTCAAGTCAAAGCAGTGTAGAAATACAGACAGAAAACAAAGAGAGGATGTAGACAGTGAGAGAAGGGGGACAGAGATAATCTGAAGAAAAGAGAGCGTGTGGAGAACAGTGGGAGGGGGTTAAGTAGAAGAGAACAGTGAATGAGTAGGTGCTCCTCTGCTGATCACAGTACAACAGAGCTTTAGTCTGTAATAGCTCCTCTTTCACAGCCAAGTATGTCCTCTGACCTGAAAGAGAGGGGGAGAGGGAGGGGAGCAAGCAGAAATCTATAACCTCCAGCAGTGTGGTCAGAATACTAAACAATATCAAGGGACAGGAGAAGGCCGCACAGTAGGGGCACTCGGCTGACCTCAGATCAGCTACAGTGCATTCAGAAAGTATTCAGACCCCTTGACTTTTTCCACATTTTGTTACATTTCAGCATTATTCTAAAACCGATTTTGTCAATACCCCATAATGACAAAGCAAAAACTGTTTTTTTGAACATTTTGCAAATGTATTAAAAATAAAAAATGGAAATTTGACATTTACATAAGTATTCAGACCCTTTACTCAGTACTTTGTTGAAGCATCTGGCAGTGATTACAGCCTCAAGTCTTCTTGGGTATGACGCTACAAGCTTTGCACACCTGTACTTGGGGAGTTTCTCCCATTCTTCTCTGCAGATCCTCTCAAACTCTGTCAGGTTCGATGGGGCGGGTCGCTGCACAGCTATTTTCAGGTCTCTCCAGAGATGTTAGATCGGGTTCAAGTCCGGGCTCTGGCTGGGCCACTCAAGGACATTCAGAGACTTGTCCTGAAACAAATCCTCCTTTGTCTTGGCTGTGTGATTAGGGTCGTTGTCCTGTTCGAAGGTGAACCTTAGCCCCAGTCTGAGGTCCTTAGCGCTCTGGAGCAAGTTTTCATCAAGGATCTCTCTGTACTTTGCTCTGTTCATTTTTCCCCTTGATCCTGACTAGTCTCCCAGTCCCTGCCGCTGAAAAACATCCCCACAGCATGATGCTGCCACCACCATGCTTCACCGTAGGGATGGTGCCAGGTTTCCTCCAGATGTGACGCTTGGCATTGAGGCCAAAGAGTTCAATCTTGTTTTTATCAGACCAGAGAATCTTGTTTCTCATGGTATGAGAGTCCTTTAGGCAAACTCCAAGCGAGCTGTATTGTGCCTTTTATTGAGGAGTGGCTTCCGTCTGGCCATTCTACCATAAAGGCCTGATTGGTGGTGTGCTGCAGAGACGGTTGTCCTTCTGGTAGGTTCTCCCATCTCCACAGAGGACCTCTGGAGCTCTGTCAGAGTGACCATTGGGTTCTTGGTCTCCCCCGATTGCTCAGTTTAGCCGGGCGGCCAAACTTCTTCCATTTAAGAATGATGAGGCCACTGTGTTCTTGGTGACCTTCAATGCTGCAGAAATGTTTTGGTACCCTTCCCCAGATCTGTGCCTCGAGACAATCCTGTCTCGGAGCTCTACGGACAATTCATTTCAAATTAAATCAAATCAAATTGTATTGGTCACATGCGCCGAATACAACAGGTGCAGACATTACAGTGAAATGCTTACTTACAGCCCTTAACCAACAGTGCATTTATTTTAAACAAAAAAGTAAGAATAAAACAACAACAAAAAAGTGTTGAGAAAAAAAGAGCAGAAGTAAAATAAAGTGACAGTAGGGAGGCTATATATACAATAAAATAAAGTGACAGTAGGGAGGCTATATATACAGGGGGGTACCGTTGCATAGTCAATGTGCGGGGGCACCGGCTAGTTGAGGTAGTTGAGGTAATATGTACATGTGGGTAGAGTTAAAGTGACTATGCATAAATACTTAACAGAGTAGCAGCAGCGTAAAAAGGATGGGGTGGGGGGGCAGTGCAAATAGTCCGGGTAGCCATGATTAGCTATTCAGGAGTCTTATGGCTTGGGGGTAGAAGCTGTTGAGAAGTCTTTTGGACCTAGACTTGGCACTCCGGTACCGCTTGCCGTGCGGTAGCAGAGAGAACAGTCTATGATTAGGGTGACTGGAGTCTTTGACAATTTTGAGGGCCTTCCTCTGAACTCCTGGCTTGGTTTTTGCTCTGACATGCACTGTCAACTGTGGGACCTTACATAGACAGGTTAGCACCTTTCCAAATCATGTCCAATCAATTGAATTTACCACAGTTGGACTCCAATCAAGTTGTAGAAACATCAAGGATGATCAATGGAAACAGGATGCACCGGAGCTCAATTTCGAGTCTCATAGCAAAGAGTGAATACTTATGTAAATAAGGTATTTCTGTTTTTGATTTTTAATAAATTTACTAAGATTTCTAAAAACCTGTTTTTGCTTTGATGAGTAAAACAAAATAATTGAATCAATTTTAGAATAAGGCTGTAACAAAATGTGGAAAAAGTCAAGGGGTCTGAATACTTTCCGAATGCACTGTACATCTACCATGATGAGCTGAAGTAATACTGGCTTTAGGACCAGTGGCCAAAGGATGTGTAAGACAGACTGTTTATGTCTCCTTTGAGGCTCTAATTATATCAATGAGCTTGTAGGAAATTAAAATATTTTGTTGAGGATGAGAGGGGATATAAATGCATTTTCTCGGAGAACAAAATGTTTCAATAGGCACGTTCCCATGCTTATCGAGTGTTTGATTGCATTAGAAAAGGCACACATGAAAACAAAACAGACTTTGTAGTCACATTTTTCTACACGTAACAATGCTGTGTTCAGATGTGTGTGGGTTAGTCATACCTGTGCCTGAGTGTTGGGTCGTTGGTTGCCATCTTTGTTGCCAAACGTCTTCCTGCAGTTCTCCAGCCACTGTAGGGATTGGGATAAGGGAGGAAGGGAGAGAGAGAATACATCATGAGATTGATACCAGTCTATGCAAGTCTTTTTTCTTCGAAGTGTGTGTGTGTTGGGGTTGGGTGGGTGGGTGGGGGGAGTTGGGTAGATTTAATAAGAGTGCTGTACTTAGCGAATTACAGAGGGTCTGTTCTAGTGCAGCGGGGCGGAGATCAATCCTCCAGGGACCGCACCCGTCTCATTCAATTAGCGCCCCAGCATCCCCAAGCTCTGTCTGCATCCCTCTCTCTCTCTCTCGCAATCACATCTGTCCTCTTTACCTCTTCCTCCCCCCATCTCTCCTTCCTCCCCTCCTTTCATTCCCTCTAACTGATTTAGGAGCGCCAGGGGATATTTTTAGCCCGTCAGCAGGGGATGTCGCTAGTAATGTGGACGCTAAAGGACGCTAAATCCACTCATATCCTCCCTGTGATTCAATGGCTGACCCAACGATGAGACACCCAACCCATTTACCTCCTTATGACTCAGCTCATTGTCTCTGTTCTGTTCTCTCAGCCTCTTCCTCCCTGATCTGGAGAGGAAATTTGGCGTAATCTAGAGCCTCATTGAGCCTTCCTCACTAGGAATGAGAGGCCATTGAAGTACCACCAGTGGTCTGGTGCAGGGATGGTCTGAATACAGGTATGCGGTATGATCATTAGCCATAATTGGATGGAATAAGGATGTGGGATTGTGTAATCTAGGGGTTCAGGAAACGGTAGGTAAGAGTGTACTGTAGCTAGGGATGAGAGTATGTACTGTATAGCTGAAAATGAGGATGAGATGGAGAGCTCACCTCCTCGGCCGCCTCCCTCTTGCCATTGTAGGTGTCCAGGTGTTCCTGTAACTCCAGCACACTAAACTTCAGAGTCTCCAGCAGTCCACATGAGACCAACTAAGACACAGACAGACCCGACAACACACATTCAATAAATACAGTACCTAACATCCAAGTTGGACCAAACTTTTTTCTAACAATAGCTAGGTTTCTGTCCAATTGGCAACAGATTTTCATGCGAATATTCTAAAATCTGCATAAAGAAAATATGTGCATTTTCCCTCCAGTGGTGTGTTTCCACCAAACGGACTTGTTGCGGACAAAAATCAGTCTGTGATGACATAGTGCACACAAAATGTACTTTTTCGCTTAAGTGTGTAATACCTTGCTAAAACCACGTATAGAGTTTATTTGTTATAATTCATTGGTATTAGATTTAAAAGGTGATCGAATAGCTCCTGATTTGTAATGTCATTAATGCATTTATTTTGAAGCAATGTTTAATATTTTTTTTACAAGTGAATAGGTTGGTTTACTTTTAAGTTTAAGTTTCCCACGTATCTCGTTAAAGTTTTGACCAATGAGGTAACTTTTTACGTTGTGGCCAATGGGAGAGTGGACTGGTTGCTGGGAAAGAAAAGAGAGGGAAAGGTTGAAAGAAGGGAGAGGAGAGACGTTAGTGGGGTTGGTGAAAGAAAAACGACCAAAGGAAACGATAAAGAGAGAACAAAACCATACCTACAGAGTTTTTTTTAAGGGAAATCCTGATTTTGTTAAGGTCTTTCTTATTTAGTTAAGAAAGACCTAGTGGAGACTGAAGCTGCCGTCGCATTGTGGAGACATTCGACATCCTAGAGGTTAGCCTAGCATTGTGCAAGACTTGGAGAGAATTGCTTGTGACGATCAACGAGTTCGGGTTTCCAACAGATGTCTGTTGCTGCTACCGAGTACTGGCTGCATTGATAGCTGTGTTCGCTGTGGATCTTGTGAGGACACCTGCACGGAACTACTATATTTTGCTGAGGCATTATCTACAAGTAGTGAGTAACTACAAATGTGGGGTGGACTTCGGGACTTTATGTATGTCTTCATTTTTTTTTTAGCTCCAACACGCGCCCAGGGTTTAAGCAAGCTTGCAAATAATTTGGACATGGGTTGTGGAAGAATCATTGGGGTTTATTATTTTTATTTCTTCTGATGTGATACATTGAAAATTTGATTAATATAGATCTTGAACCTTATGTCTGTTATATTGGTGGAGTCATTTACTGTTTCAGTTTCATTTAATGCATGGGAAAGCATATCCTTATAATAATAACCAAGTCTATAATCATTCTATCTGAAGTTAATACCCTATTTGTCATTCACCCTAGCAAGTTTACAATAGGGATTCTTATTGGAGATGTCCTTCTCACCTAATATCCCATGCTGTTCAGATATTCTAAATAAGGTAATATTGTGAGAGTCAAATTTGAGCCTGGTGAGAGGGTTACAAGTGTATCTTATCCATTTTATACTTCACATAGAATTGTGAGATATAGATCTGTCATTCTCATTGAAAGCAAGTGTAAGAAGTGGTAGATATGTTCTATGTGCATTATTTCTATGCTTCCTGGTCTTAAGTGTTTTTGTCTTTTACTTTTGGTTTTGTACATCAGCTTCAAACAGCTGAAAATACAATATTTTTGGTTATTGAAAATATATTTCACAGTGGTTTAGACGGTACAATGATTCTCTACACTATACTAGCTTATTTTGTCACAAACTGAAATTAGGCGAACTATTCGAATTTTAGCAACCAGGAAATGGCGGAGCGATTTCTGCATATTGCACCTTTAACTGCCCACAAAACCAACATTTAGCAGAAGGATCTTACGGATCTGGAAAGATTCTGTATGAAAGAATGGTCCAAGATCCCTTCCAATGTGCTCTCCAATCTTATAAAGCATTTAAGAAAAAGGCTCAATAGCTAGGACAGATTTTCATGCAAATATTAAAAAATCTGCATAAAGAAAATATGCAAATTGTCTTCTTTTTTTATGGGGGGGGGGGGGGGGGGGGGGGGTAGAAGGATTACTTTATACTATTCCAGGTATTCCTTAAAGAGGTAGGGTTTCAAGTGTCTCCGGAAGGTGGTTAGTGACTCCGCTGTCCTTGCGTCGTGGGGGAGCTTGTTCCACCATTGGGGTGCCAGAGCAGCGAATAGCTTTGACTGGGCTGAGCGGGAACTGTGCTTCCGTAGAGGTAGGGGAGCTAGCAGGCCAGAGGTGGATGAATGTCAAGTCACCAGAATAAGACCCTCAATATTTATAGTAAAGGAGCATCAGGCTCATCACCGTGCACTTTCACCACCCCTGTGAAGTTCATCATAATTTATTTAATCTGTAGCCTAATAAACTGCATGGTTTCCAGAGTCGTAGTGGGAGGACCACACAGCATATCATCGCGTGACAACTTTACTTCGATATGATGGTTATTATATCAATATTAACACAAAGGCGTTCCACCGCCATTTCTCACATAATTAATTTTACCAACAAAAATATCACCATGTCAAACGAACGAATTCTGTCGGCATTTACAGTGGGGAAACAAAGTATTTAGTCAGCCACCAATTGTGCAAGTTCTCCCACTTAAAAAGATGAGGCCTGTAATTTTCATCATAGGTACACGTCAACTATGACAGACAAAATGAGAAGAAGAAAAAATCCTGAAAATCACATTGTAGGATTTTTAATGAATTTATTTGCAAATTATGGTGGAAAATAAGTATTTGGTCAATAACAAAAGTTTCTCAATACTTTGTTATATACCCTTTGTTGGCAATGACACAGGTCAAACGTTTTCTGTAAGTCTTCACAAGGTTTTCACACACTGTTGCTGGTATTTTGGCCCATTCCTCCATGCAGATCTCCTCTAGAGCAGTGATGTTTTGGGGCTGTCGCTGGGCAACACGGACTTTCAACTCCCTCCAAAGATTTTCTATGGGGTTGAGATCTGGAGACTGGCTAGGCCACTCCAGGACCTTGAAATGCTTCTTACGAAGCCACTCCTTCGTTGCCCGGGCGGTTTGTTTGGGATCATTGTCATGCTGAAAGACCCAGCCACGTTTCATCTTCAATGCCCTTGCTGATGGAAGGAGGTTTTCACTCAAAATCTCACGATACATGGCCCCATTAATTCTTTCCTTTACACGGATCAGTTGTCCTGGTCCCTTTGCAGAAAAACAGCCCCAAAGCATGACGTTTCCACCCCCATGCTTCACAGTAGGTATGGTGTTCTTTGGATGCAACTCAGCATTCTTTGTCCTCCAAACACGACGAGTTGAGTTTTTACCAAAAAGTTCTATTTTGGTTTCATCTGACCATATGACATTCTCCTAATCCTCTTCTGGATCATCCAAATGCACTCTAGCAAACTTCAGACGGGCCTGGACATGTACTGGCTTAAGCAGGTGGACACGTCTGGCACTGCAGGATTTGAGTCCCTGGCGGCGTAGTGTGTTACTGATGGTAGGCTTTGTTACTTTGGTCCCCCCGTGTGGTTCTGGGATTTTTGCTCACCGTTCTTGTGATCATTTTGACCCCACGGGGTGAGATCTTGCGTGGAGCCCCAGATCGAGGGAGATTATCAGTGGTGTTGTATGTCTTCCATTTCCTAATAATTGCTCCCACAGTTGATTTCTTCAAACCAAGCTGCTTACCTATTGCAGATTCAGTCTTCCCAGCCTGGTGCAGGTCTACAATTTTGTTTCTGGTGTCCTTTGACAGCTCTTTGGTCTTGGCCATAGTGGAGTTTGGAGTGTGACTGTTTGAGGTTGTGGACAGGTGTCTTTTATACTGATAACAAGTTCCAACAGGTGCCATTAATACAGGTAACGAGTGGAGGACAGAGGAGCCTCTTAAAGAAGAAGTTACAGGTCTGTGAGAGCCAGAAATCTTGCTTGTTTGTAGGTGACCAAATACTTATTTTCCACCATAATTTGCAAATAAATTCATAAAAAATCCTACAATGTGATTTTCTGGGAAACATTTTCTCAATTTGTCTGTCATAGTTGACGTGTCCCTATGATGAAAATTACAGGCCTCTCATCTTTTTAAGTGGGAGAACATGCACAATTGGTGGCTGACTAAATACTTTTTTCCCCCACTGTATACAATTTTACTGAAACTTAATGTTTCCATCACAGCTGTTGTTTTATAAGTATAAAATAATATTTTAAAAAAATGTTGAGCATACAATATAGCTCAGTATTTTTATTATTTATTTTATACATCCTTTTTTTGCTCATCTTTATCAAGGGATCCAATAATTCGGGACCCGTAACACACAGAAATGCAGTGAAAGAATAGTGTTTTATGTCACAATTTTGGACAAATTTGTCAAGACACGAACCATGAGAAAGGGTTGAAAAAGAAATATGTATACTATACACGTAGATATATGTAGCCATGTTCCCCCCTTATATCTTAAATGTAACGACATGAAAAGGCAGATTATTATCAATAGCTGTAAATAGGTTGTCCACCGCAGGAAACCCTCCCTGGTACCCTAGTTTATAGAAAGACCCTTATACTGTCCATCATGCAATATGCATAACATGAAATTGCATGCATAACAAGCACGGCTAATATAATATAACTACTGCTATCGCTAAAAATATCTTAACAAGCATGCTACAATTAGCTTTGTCATTGTTCCCTTTTGCAACCAGAGAGATTACGCAATATAATCTTTAGATTATTAAGGAAGTTGTCATCTTTGGGTTAGCAGGGCAGACTCACCGTCTCAGCATCCAACAGCACCGTGGGGCACTGGGAGCGCGAGGTCATGACCTCTAAGGAGCTGAGGAACTGGTTCCCCATTCGCTGCAGCCTCTCTCCCAGGAAACGCACTGACGAGTGGGTGATGGCACCAAACTTTCTCTGCATGCTCTGCAGACACCAAGACAACAACACAGTCAACAGAGCAAACACACACGACAAATACACAGTGTACAAAACATTAAGAACACCTTCCTAATATTGACTTGCACCCCCTTTTGCCCTCAGAACAGCCTCAATTCGTCGGGGCATGGACTCTACAAGGTGTCGAAACCATTGTTGATACACATGGGAAACTGTTGAGCATAAAAAACCCAGTTGCAGTTGCAGTTCTTGACACAAACCGGTGTGCCTGGCACCTACTACCATACCCTGTTCAAAGGCACTCTTGCCCATTCACCCTCTGAATGGCACACATACACAATCCATGTCTAAATTGTCTCAAGGCTTAAAAATCTTTCTTTAACCTGTCTTCTCCCCGTCACCTACACTGATTGAAGTGGATTTAACAAGTGACATCAATAAGGGATCATAGCTTTCACCTGAATTCACCTGGTCAGTCTGTCATAGAAAGAGCAGGTGTTCTTAATATTTTGTACACTCAGTGTACATACAGTACAAAACAAAAATAAACACAGAAAACATACACTAAATATAGCCTACTCCTCCTCCTCTCTCACCTTAAATAGTCGTGAGAACACATGGAAGGTGTACACTGCAGAGGACCCATCCGTGTCCGACAACATCTGGTTGACATGGACACGCCAAGCATCCTCCTCATCCTCATAGGCAACAGGCTGGAAAGCTGCCAGGATGGCAGAGAGGAAGGGTGAGGGGGGAGGAGAGGCCTGGATCTCTTGGAAACCATCCTGATCGCCCTCATCTTGACTGAAAATATAAACACACAGGATCTGTTTCAGTACTACTGACATACACACAGGATTCACCTCATTCTGAAGGCACAAGCACACACACACACACACACACACCCTAGCTCTGACTGCAACCAAAACAACCACTCTCTCTATAAACACACACACACATCTCTCTCACCCTCCTCTCTCTGATCCTCTCTCACTGCAGATGTTTTTGCTGCAGTGTTGTTTCAGCAGAGATCTACTTCAGAGCCAGAGCAGACAACACATGGCGCTTTACCATCTTAACACACAAACGCACTCGCACCCTGATACTCACAGGCCTGTGGGACCAAACAGCCTGATGAAGCAGACAGAGTAGAAGTATCTGATGCCTGTGCTGCCGAGCGCTGTGGAGGACACAGTCTTCATCCTCATCCTCACCTTAACTAGCGCCTCTCCCTCACTCTCTCTGCCTGCCTCTCTGCAGCACGGTAACACAGCGTCTCTCTGCACGCTGCGCTAGCCTGCCTAGAACACTGCACTACCGTACCGTCCCACAAAGGACTACAGAGCAGAGCTCTGAGCCCAGAATCTGACACACATATACGCAGCAACACAGAGCAAGGCCCCAACCAGCCTTCTGCTGATTTAAGCTTTCTGGCTAGCACGCACATCATACGCACATCATGCACGCGCACACGCAGCACAGCCCTTTTGTTTTCCGGGGGAGGATCATTTGGAGTACTGCCATTCCCTCCAGCGATCAATCAAACTGCCTGGATTTTGGAGAGGGGGAAAATTCATTTAAGCACGTGTATTGAATGAACAAGCAAGAAGTGTGTGCGTGGTTTCTAAATCTCCGCTAGTTGAATAGAGTTGATTTGTGGCTGCAATGTGACCAGTGTCCTCTAACCAGAGTTGGCCCACCTTGATGAGTGTGTATATAAAAAGGCAAAGAGGAGCCAGAGCTGGCCCACCTTCAGAGAGATGCCCTCAGCTCCCACCCAGCCCAAATGGGAGTAGAGCCAGTGATGAGGTCACCCGTTACAGCAGCTCCAACACAGACCCGACACACACACACAGAGACTCCAACACAGCGTCTTTAGCACATACAATATTTGCTGTCACAGTACCCAGATCCACCACACAACACACACAGGTTGGGAGCACCACAGGGTCAGCCGCAGAGCAATGCCCCTGGAGCAGGTTAGGGGGTAAAGTGGCTTGCTCAAGGGCACATCGGCAGTAGGTGGCACCTGAGATATTAATGCCAGCAATACTCCAGTTGCTGGCTCACTCCCCACAGATTCCGCTTGTCCATATGGTTGTCCACATGCAAGTATGAACTGAAAACAGGTATGCAAATGTAAACAGAATGTCAATCTAGAGACAGGACCAATGTATATCTGCCAATACGTAATTAATAATTTATACACCTGAAGACATACAAACAGATATCTGACTAGAGGCCACAACCACTGCACCTTTGGCCACTGGTACAGGTCATCTGATATTGGACAGTAAAGTCAGTAGAGTAAAGCAGTCTTACCTGGACATATCAGAGAAGTCGGCCTCCTCCTCCTCACATCGTTCGTCCAGCTCCTTCAGCGCCAGCGTCACGTCCTCCTCACACACAGAGCCACAGGGACTGTCTGGGATGGGGGGCAGCAGCAGGGGCAGGGTCATAGGGGAGTCCCCCTCCTCACAGAGGGACCCTGGCGGGGTGTCTAAGGCCGGCAGGCGAGGGGGGGCCGAGTCCAGGTCGTCGTGAGGGTCCTGAGAGTCTGTGAGGTCACACAGCTCAGGGGGGTCCGGGGGCAGTGCGGGGGCACTGCTGCCAAACCCCGTGTCTGTGCTCACGCTGCTGCTCAGCTCGTCTGCCGCCGTCATGCTGACCCCATCCTGAACAACACAGCCAGCAGGAGTTGTTCAGGAGCAGGTTAAATATATAGTATAAACAGTGGTTCTCAAACCTCTCCTCGGGGACCCCCAAGTGTTTCACAATTTTGTTGCAGCCATGAACTAGCTCACCTGATTCACCTATTCAAGGCCTTGCTATGTAGTTGACAAGTTGAATCAGGTGTGCTAGCTCTGGAATATATCAAATACATGGAATTGATGGTGCTCCCCGAGGAGAGGTTTGAAAACCACTGTACTATAACACTACTCACGCAAAATGACACATTCTCTTGAGACCTTACAGTTGCCACAGCAACAGCCCTTCTGAGAATCTCCCTAAGATTCTCCCTAAGAATATCTACTTAACCTTTATCTATGCCTGAAATAGAAACATTACTGGCTTCCTCAATATACACTGCTCAAAAAAAGTAAGGGAACACTTAAACAACACAATGTAACTCCAAGTCAATCACACTTTTGTGAAATCAAACTGTCCACTTAGGAAGCAACACTGATTGACAATACGTGGTTCTGCAGGTGGTGACCACAGACCACTTCTCAGTTCCTATGGTTCCTGGCTGATGTTTTGGTCACTTTTGAATGCTGGCGGTGCTTTCACTCTAGTGGTAGCATGAGACGGAGTCTACAACCCACACAAGTGGCTCAGGTAGTGCAGCTCATCCAGAATGGCACATCTATGCGAGCTGTGGCAAGAAGGTTTGCTGTGTCTGTCAGCGTAGTGTCCAGAGCATGGAGGCGCTACCAGGAGACGTGGACGAGGCCGTAGGAGGGCAACAACCCAGCAGCAGGACCGCTACCTCCGCCTTTGTGCAAGGAGGAGCAGGGGGAGCACTGCCAGAGCCCTGCAAAATGACCTCCAGCAGGCCACAAATGTGCATGTGTCTGCTCAAACGGTCAGAAACAGACTCCATGAGGGTGGTATGAGGGCCCGACGTCCACAGGTGGGGGTTGTGCTTACAGCCCAACACCGTGCAGGACGTTTGGCATTTGCCAGAGAACACCAAGATTGGCAAATTCGCCACTGGCGCCCTGTGCTCTTCACAGATGAAAGCAGGTTCACACTGAGCACATGTGACAGACATGACAGAGTCTGGAGACGCCGTGGAGAACGTTCTGCTGCCTGCAACATCCTCCAGCATGACCGGTTTGGCGGTGGGTCAGTCATGGTGTGGGGTGGCATTTCTTTGGGGGGCCGCACAGCCCTCCATGTGCTCGCCAGAGGTAGCCTGACTGCCATTAGGTACCGAGATGAGATCCTCAGACCCCTTGTGAGACCATATGCTGGTGCGGTTGGCCCTGGGTTCCTCCTAATGCAAGACAATGCTAGACCTCATGTGGCTGGAGTGTGTCAGCAGTTTCTGCAAGAGGAAGGCATTGATGCTATGGACTGGCCCGCCCGTTCCCCAGACCTGAATCCAATTGAGCACATCTGGGACATCATGTCACGCTCCATCCACCAACGCCACGTTGCACCACAGACTGTCCAGGAGTTGGCGGATGCTTTAGTCCAGGACTGGGAGGAGATCCCTCAGGAGACCATCCGCCACCTCATCAGGAGCATGCCCAGGCGTTGTAGGGAGGTCATACAGGCACGTGGAGGCCACACACACAATACTGAGCCTCATTTTGACTTGTTTTAAGAACATTACATCAAAGTTGGATCAGCCTGTAGTGTGGTTTTCCACTTTAATTTTGAGGGTGACTCCAAATCCAGACCTCCATGGGTTGATAAATTTGAATTCCATTGATAATTTTTGTGTGATTTTGTTGTCAGCACATTCAACTATGTAAAGAAAAAAGTATTTAATAAGATTATTTCATTGATTCAGATCTAGGATGTGTTGTTTAAGTGTTCCCTTTATTTATTTGAGCAGTGTATAACATTAAAGAATATAATATTATTCTTAACTATACAAGAGGGAGACTTGGTCAGCATAATTCAAGAGATGGATATTCACTTCACAGTTCATACTCTAAATTTGTGTCTAGAGAAAGGCAAATCAATAAACAGAAGGGCTAATATCAATCTATGGAGCTGGCCTGCCATTAAGAATGTGACCCTCAGGGTAATAAAACACTGACATCATGGCCAGACGACAGGCTGAGAGCTAAAAGGCCTTCAGATAGATGAGATGTGTTGCACTATGACGCAGTCCAAGCCATTTGGATGGATCAAACTACTGATTTATGGATCACAATCAATGACTAGAGTAGTTAAGAAAAATACTAAAATGAGATGAGACAATTATATTTTTGGTCAATAAAAAGGTTTTGACTAGGTTTGTTTTATCGTAAACTACACAGTCGTAAGAAAAGTAGCAGCCAGCTGCTAAGCACAGTAATACTGAAAACTGTCAAATATGACAGTTGAACATAAAGCCACATTGTTACCCAACTGGCAAACTCCTGTGCTGTGTGACAGGGCAGTTATCTGCATTAAAACCACAGTGTGAGTCATATTACAGGAAACAAAAGTCAACGGTGATCATGCAAGGCACGTCCACAGAGGGAGGAGTGGGGAGTACAGGGGGATCTAGAACATCTAATTGAAAGGACTTCTATTTAAGAGTCTAATGCATTAAGGAGAGGAGAGTGTGGCAGGCTGCCAGTGCGTCACTGAGGCACAGTGGCTATATTACGGAACGCTTTTAGGAGTGGGTGGACGTCTGGGCCGTCGTGGAGGGATGAGTAATAGTATTGATGGTTTTATCTGGGGCTCATTAAACTAAGACCTGGGCCTGTGATGGGGGAGATGTCCTTGGGCTGATATTGAGATGATGGTTATAAGCAGGGACAGGAATGAGCTCATACGGAAGCTCCATTCACATTACTGGGGAAAAGACTGGTGTTATTTCTCACAGAACGGCCCCCATTGAACATTCCCTGTCTCAGTTTCGTTCATACAATAACCAGGTGTGGGTCCTGTGTCAGTGTGTATGAGACAATCAATTCAAAATGGGATCTTCGGGGACAAACATGAGCAGCATAAACTATCAATACAAAACCTTAAGACAGAACTATACATTCTGTGGAAGAAGTGTTGAGCAAGAGTGCATCCTCACCATGGTTACACAGGTTAGTAGTGGTAGATAATGGATAATAATGGAAGCTGTTAGTGACTGCATGTTAGTATGGTTTACCTGATTGCGTTCCCTGGTTAACTGTGCTCACTGGTTTAATCTAATGCATGTCTCTGTGTTGCTTCACAATGCTCTCTAATGGAGCGGACTTAACTAATTTAGCTCATACTCACACATGGGTCTGCCACGCAGAGTAGGACGCTGGTGTCCAGTGCTCAGTAATTTAACAGTGAGTTCAGTTGAGTGTTCAGGTTCCAAATTGAGAGGTGACGTTTCGGCTGGCCTGAGGTGAGCATTGACAATCTCTCCCCCAATCACACATTTAAGCACCACAAACCAGCCAATCAGAGAAGCAAAAGCTAGCCCACCACAGCACCCACACACCCAGAGCAGCACGACAAGTTGAGAGAAAGAGTTGGAGACGGAGGGAGATGTGAACAGAGAAAGTGCCCCCTACTGCACAACAGGTACAGCTCTCTCCCTAGAGGCAGACAGAGGGAGGAGGCCGCCACCATCTCTCTGTGTGAAACATGAGCGAGACGGAGCGCAGCAGAGGTAGGAAGAGGTTTAAAGAGGAGGATAAGGAGCTAGAAAGAGCCGGAGCACCACAATTTTGTTCTCCCGATTGGTCGCACCTCAGGCAGCTGCCTGGAGTCAGAGCGGGGCATCTCCAGTGCAGGGCTGTCCAGGCGGGGCAGCAGGGCTGTGGTCTCCTCTGACAGGGCACTGCTGGACGACTCCTGGGACTGCTGCAGAGAGTCCACATGATTGGACGTGGCATCGTCCGCAGCAGAGTCACAGTTCATCTGGAGTGAGGGGAGGAAGAGAGAGAGAGAGAAAAAAAAAGGTTAAACTTCTCCATTTAGAACTAGATAGTAAATACAAAATTAAATGAAATCCCCTAATTAAATATCTCCATATTATCTGGTCCTCTGCTCCACGTCTCCAGGATATCTGCTAGTGTACGGTTTAGTTTTTTTAGAATAAGATGTTTACCATTCTAAAAACATGCTATATTCCAGGCATTATTACAATATATCTTTGTTATTTGAAAAGCAATATATTCTCACATTATTCTGCCCGCAAATGAAATGTTGCATGTCATTGTTTAAAAGTTAATAAATATCAGTTTCTGAAGCTAAACATGTTACAGTATTTGGGCCACTAGAGGCAGTCTCACTTGCACAGCGCACTATCAAGAGCAAATGAGGAAGAAGAGGAGAGCATAGACTGAAGAGCAGCTCTAGAATAACAGCTGACTAGCCATTTAGAGCAAAGCAAAGAGTTAGAGAAAGGCAGCCAGAGGTTTGGGTTATTGGGATCATGCTCACAAAGGAACATGCTGTTAATTTGATGCCAGTTGTAACTTGACTAAATACATTTCATGCTATGGACTCCTTTGAGTTTCTTTTTTATGTAGCTAAACACAGTTATTGTGTATGTGAATGAGCTATGTCTGTCTGTGACCTAAACATATCAGAAAGCTGAACTGGACTGATTTTCAGTATAGTTTGGGTCTGTACTTTACTTACCTAAAAAACTAACTTATGGGGGAAGGGGGTACTGGTTTGTGGGTAAGGAGTAAAATGAGGATAGCGGGTCTATGATTGGGGGTGAAGGGGGGGCAGGGAGTGAAATAGTGCCCGTTACCAGCGGAAGCAAGCGTCTAGCCCCTGCCCATAACAGGCACGGTTGTAGCTCTGCAGTAACGCTGCTCAGTGCGTGGACACACACACACACACACACACACACAATGCCAGCGGACTGTGTGAGGAGCATGGGGGCGGGCAGGGACAGGGCCACCCTTGTGATGGGTGAGACTTACTAGGCCAGAGCGGGTGAGAATCTGGCTAGCGCTCAGTACCTCCTCCTCAGACGACTCGTCCGTGTCCTCCTGGTTGGTGAGGTTGAGGCTGGGCGTGCTCCCGGTGTACTGGCACTCCTGCAGGGACGGCGTGTCCCCGTCTCCCTCCCCCTTGTCCATGCTGTCCAGGGAGCGCCTACGCACGCCCCAATTGAAGTTGTCCATGCTCTCCCCCTGCAGGACACCCAAGGAAACAACAGTCAGATACCAGTAGAACTAACTGAAGTTTGAGATAGCGGAGAAAATGTGGATGAATCACAACAGCACAAGTACAAGACCAAACACAAGAAAACACAACAATGTATGCCACTAACACGTCACATCTAAAGAGCTGTGTATGCAGTAATGGGAAGTGGAGGAGATGACACCTATTCTTTCAGGCTGTTTGACCTAATCACTTCAAGTGCAGACTACATTGATCATGAACCAAAAAAGTATTTGTGGCATGCTTCATTGGCTGTCTGTTTCTACACAGACAAAACAGGTGCTTCTACAGGATGACAACAATCACATGACTGACAGAGTGACACCAGGGCAGTTAGGAGGGCAGCTTTAAAAAGCTCCTGCTGGCCCAAACGTACCTGGAACTCCTTGTGGCGGGAAAAGAGAAAAGGTAACAAGTGGGTTAGAAAGAGTAGGTAGTAGGGACAGTTATAGGACATGGAAGAAAAGTCATACCAAGAACTGTACAAACACACACAGATGTTAAGACACACGCTCAGACGTATTTGAGCGCACGATCACACACACACTGAATGAAACCATTTATTGTCACCAATCAACAACATGATCTGAAATGATGGTGCAATAGCAGAGAGACTATTGTAAATGATCCTATACAAGACATTAAAAAGTAAGAGTGTGTGTGTGTGTGTGTGTGTGTGTGTGCGCACAGATGGCTCCTTCTACTGTACAGTAAATCACCCCTCACCTCAGCATCCTCCAGCTCCACGTCCAGGAAATCAAAGTCCTTGAAGACTCCAAACTGCTGCTCACTTCCTGCATCTTCTCCCTGCACATCCTCCTCCCTCACCACCTCCTCCACCGTGGGGATCAGACTGGTCTGCTGGTCACCTGAGTCCAGGTCCTCGTTGGATGAGAACACCACCTAAACACACACAGAGAAAGATAGAACAGTTATGGTAAACGGGTTCAATAACCACATGGAGGGATGGCTGGGATATATTCTGTTGAAGTTGATCACTAGTCATGCTCGCTCACAGTTTGACATGCCAGGTGTCTTACAGAAGGATTCTTGGGAATGCCAGACTCGGGACCACACAGAGAGAGAACGTTCATGAGCTTCTCTCTGGTTCTCCTCTGAAATAAGACGACAATTAAATATTAACAAACAAATAAGACATTTAAACATATCAAACCTCATTGTAACATATCCAATGGCTGTAAGTACCTGAGAGAGTTGAGGCCTCTTCCAGCTGACAGGCACCAGGCCATTGGAGTTGGATCCAGAGGAGGTGGAGGATGTGCTCCGGGTCACAGCGATGACCTGCGGCTTCCCATTCCGCCCTGCAGCTGTGCGCTGGTCCCCGTACTTATGCCCTATGATGGGCGTCTGGGAGTCAAAGGTTACACCAGTTAATAATCTAGATTCTACAGGTCTGATACATTTTTAAAAAAGGTAGGGCTAAAGGTAAAAGGTGAGTGAAAGAAAAATGGAAAGAGTGAAAAACTGAAAAAATAAGAATCGGAGAAGGACGAAAAGATGAGAAAAATAAGAGGGTGCAGAGATCAGGACAGTACTTTTTAAAATTGTATTTAACATTCATTTTACTGAAATAAAACATTTTACAAGAGAGACCTGGCCAAACTAGCAGCACATAAAGTTTAATACAAAGACATGTTACAACATAAAACAAAGCACTACAGTTCATAAACACATTGAGCAGGCAAGACTTCACCTCTGAGATGTCGAAGTGGAAGTCCAGTGTCTTGCCAGGTAGCTCTTTAGAAGAGTTGTTGAAGATGCGAGTGAAGGCAATCTCTGGGGATCCAGAGGACTCTGTGCTGTAGGAGCGCTGCACCTCGTCTGGCACCACCAGGCTGGCCGACCTAGACACCACCAGCTTCAGAATGTTCTGGGCCTCTTTCCAGTATGGGCTCTGGGGAACACACAGGATCAAACACAGAGGTGGCGTTGGTTAATTGTCAATAAGAGGATTTCATGGTTTTTTAATGGGATAAAAGCACACCTCTGTTCTAGGGAAGGTTAAGAAATGTATTGTCTTTCACCTTAAACTATCCGATTCTAAGCCTATCCACAGATGTGAAGGAACAAAATGTCTAGTCAGTGCCCCCATGATACTGTATTGGATCCTACTCGGACCAGGCTGCCATCCCTTACAAGCAACCTTGAAAAAACGGATTGAGGTCTTAATTCAAACACACACACTAAATAAATAATCTACAATACAAAAGCACCCACTGCTGTGGTGGTCGGTAAGTGGAGAATTTTCCTGAGGCTGGGTGAGGGAGGGTAGGAGTGGTAGTCAGGCCAGCTGAAGAGCCCAGGGGTCAGAGCTCGTAAAAGGCTCCTCCATAAAGAGCTGTGGCTGGCTGGCTGTGTCCAAATGGCCTGAGATCCATGACCTGCTTTTATATACTATTCTTCAAGTGCATCACTCTGTAGAGGGAGTCATTCTGGCTTTCTCCCTCACACATTCACACCAAAGGTTCTATCTGCTGAAATGAACTAACCATGTGACACACACAGTACATTCTGTGTCAGACACCTTTATTTCTGTATCGGCCAATTCACATTCATTATTTTCTCTCAATCCTCTCAGAGATGGGAGGCTTTAAGAGTGTCAGAGTGCGGAGCTGAATTCGAAAAAGAGAAACCAGGTCTGTCTCACCTGGACATATTTGCTGATGATCTTCATGATCTCCAGGTTGAACTGTTTGACGGGCGCAGCCGACAGATCAATGTGACTCAGCAGGCTGTAGATGATCTGTAACAGGGACTGCTGCATGCTGGGTAGGCCCTTCTCCAGCAACTGAGGGTGAGAGGGGAAGGGTTAGGAATAGGCTCTCACAACCACCATCATGGGTTGGATGTTGGACATCTTCTTACCAGCTGATCAGTAATTAACACGGTTGACCTGTCATAATAACAAAATAAGTTACTGTAAATGTAAATTAACCAGAGGCCATGGACTGACTATGCAAATAAGTTGTCAGCTTTGATTCTCCTCATTACCTCTATGAAGGCTGGTGTTGCGGGTGCTTACCTCTGCCAGGTATGTGACCAGATTGAAGGTGATCTCAGAGAAGGCATCGTGTAGGTAACGACACACCACGTTGATCCAGTTGGTGCAGTCTCTGGAGTAGCTGTGTGTGCTGTACAGGCTCATCATGTGGGCCAGGTTAGACAGCGTGGCTGACTTCTCCTCGGCACACACCTTGGCTATCTTATCAGCCGTCTCCTTGCAGAACGGAGTGGGGCTGTCAAAGTGCTGGATGAGGTGAGGCAGCAGGCACAGGATGTTCAGAGGAAAACCTACAAGGAGACAGCAACAGACGACATCAAGATCAAGTGAATCTCGATCTCCTGAGGTAACACAGGAAGAGAAACAGGTCTAGACCCATCAGCAAGCTCCAGCAAGTCCTAGGGCATTTACCAAGCATGAAGCCAGGAACTTGTGCTAGATAAAAATCAATAAGATCAATACCTGCTCTCTTACCTGCCACCTTGGAGGGGTCGACCAGTGTGTGGCGGGAGACGCTGATGAGCTTGCTGAGCAAGTGGATGGTGAGCTCCTGGGTGGAGGCTGATGTAAAACCCTTGAGGAAGAGCTGCAGCAGACCAGGGAAGCTGTACCATTTCAGCTTGGCCTGCACTGTTTCCAGCCTCTCCCTGCTGTCTGCGTTCTCCAGGGGCAGCTGGCCCAGTAGCTTGTTGAGCAGCCGCAGGGCCAGCAGGTACTCAAACTCATAGTCCGACTCCAGGAGGGAGGCTGCTATCCAGAACACCGTGGCCATCAGGTTGGTGGGGTCCACAGGAGGGATGGCCTCCCCCCCAGGACCCCCTCCTCCACCCTCCCGCAACGACGACAAGCTCTGTGTTCGGGCTAGGTTGCCATGGCTGCCACCCAGCCGGTCGGCGATATCTAGGGTGTTGCTGCGGCGACGGTCGCCCTTGCGTTCACCCATGAGGCTGGCGCGGAGGGAGTTGCTGCGGGCGTGGCCGTGGGGGTAGTGGCCGTGGTGAAACAGACCCCCACTACTCAGGTTCAGCTGGCCCGTGCTCTTCCTATTGGCTGCAAACTTAGCCCCCAGCAGCTGCTCATGGGCAGAGACCCTACAGGATAAGAAATTACAATCTGAGTATTTCACTAGCACTGGGTTTTAGACAGTCTCAAAGATGTGTGTGTTGAGAAAGTGTGAATGCATGTGTGTGTTTCCTGAGAGAGTGCGTTGAAAAAGAGTGTGGATGTATCAGATATTGAATTGGTCAGTGCTTACTTCGCCAAGGCAGTGAGGAGGTCATAATTCTTGACGGTGTCAGCGAGAGTGTCGATCCCTGACTCCAGAGTCAGCAGCAGCTCGATAACAAAACCCTGAGGAGACAGAGGAGCAGAGGTCAACCACCCAGACAGACAGACCCCTCATACTGCAGTACCCAGTGGCTGCTGCTTCCTAATGGGGCTGCTGATCCACACTGATCCCAGGTCAGAGTGGCTGATCCCTCTGGAGCGTAGTGCCTGTTCAAACTGAGACACTCTCTGATCTGAGATCAGAAGTTAGTAATAACAGTAATAGAGAAGATAGCCCAAAGGCCATATTTAAAGGTGGTTGTCTTGATACAGGTGGGGGTGTAGCTCACCTGTGCCTCCTCTCCAGGGTCGCCCACTGTCTCTACAAGACGTGAGAGGACATCAGAAAGCGTGGCGGCTGTGAGGGGTTGTTTGAGAGCCCTGAAGATCTGGAAGGAGCGCCCTGCATAGTGACGAGACGAGCAGGACAGAGCAGTCTGCAGCGCTACCTCACTCAGCAACTGCTCCAGCTGGAAACCTGATTAACAAACACACAGATATATTTAATATCAAAACGCAGAGATGTTACAGACAGATTAGAATAGAGGGATAATTCATGCTAATCAAAAATGGTTGATATAAATCTATTTTTGTGGAGTGCTAACAAATGTGGACAGGACAGTCAGTTGTTGAAAGACAGTACAGTAGAAGGAGATAAGGAACAGACTTTAAAAAACACACTGACCTGACTGAGACTGTTTGAAGACTGTCACTACATGTCTGAGGAACACACTCAGCTGGTCAGCACTCTTTATGTTGGGGTTCTTGGGCGACACGTCCTCATGGTTCCACAGGGGCCCCCGCTTTCTGCAGGACAGAAAGACAGAATCAGGACAGGAAACTAGGGAAGTCAGAACTATCATCACACAACACATCCAACTCTGATATTCTCTTCCCAAAAGGTAAAAACAAATTGTATTATCACACGCAAACACATGCAATTGAGAAATACCCCATCCTTTCAGACATGGCTGCAAGCGTGAGACCAGATACATGGATTGGATGAAGAAGTTAGTCATGAGGGTAAATCACACAAGACAAATAACTGATATATACAGCTATGACAGAATACATCAATTCCCAAGTAAATGCAGTCTCAGGTACTCACCTGGAGGTGACAAACTCGATGAGGGCCTTGACCTTCTCATCCTGCTCGGCGATGACGTCCACCTCGTTAATTAGGGTGGGGGTGAGGTGCGGCAGGGGGGTTCCTCCTGCACCCAGGCTGATGCTGGACGAAGTGGAGCTGGAGCTCAGGCCTGAGTCTGTCATAGGAGATGGCTGATAGTCTGGCACAACGTCACACATTCCTGCATGAGTAACACACACAAGCACATGAGAACAGCGATTCATGGCTGACAAATCGCTATAAACTTGAGATAAACACACATCTATGAGATTTCACACACTGATCTGTGAAGACAGGAGAGCAAATGAGGACATGGATCTCTGCTGCCCCCTCCTGATCTTATTGGACAATACAGAACTAGACAAAGGGATATTTCTGTTCTTTAGCTAAACTACTCAGATCTTTGCAGAGCGCTACTGACCTGTGAGGTTGAACTCGTGGGGCGGTGGCTTCACCGTCAGCACCTTGGGGTCGTTGTACTCTCGGTTGCGCAGTAGCACAGAGGCCAGGGATTGGACGCTGCTGTTGGTTCCCTGGACGACCAGCAGGTGAAGCAGTAGGCGTTTGCAGTGCTCGTAGACCTCAGGGTGCTGGTGGTCCAACCCTGGCGGAAGAAATAAGGGACTGGTGAGAAATCTATTCCATAAACATGAACACTGGCAAATGAAGAGTTTGTTTTGCCTGTAAATTAAGCATCTAAGGACAAGTATACATCACTCAAGTTGTAATCAGCCAGCTGTATTAAGGTGAGCGGTGAGTTACCTATGAAGATGGAGTGCAGCAGGAGGTGAAGGTAGGCGCTCCACTCCACTTTGACCCCATGGTCCACTATGAGGTCAGTCAGTAGGATGATAGCTATGTTACACCTGAGAAACACCACACCAGAGAGTCAGCTGGGTCAGGGAAGAGGTCATACAGACAGGTCAGAGGTCAAGTGGAGGGGGTAGAGGTTACCTGTGGATGGGTACTCCAGGGGTGTTGGTCTCTGGCAGGTAGTCCACCAGAGGGGACCAGCAGCCCCCTGTGGGAGGGAAAGGGAGGGGCTCGGGACGGTTGTGGTCCATCACCTTCAGACGCCAGTTAGCATACAGTGGCATGGAGTCACCTGGACAAAACAGGGGATTATCACACCTGTGGCAACATGGATGTGTGTACATATAAAGCATAAAGTAAGAATAGTACGGCTGGGTGGAGGGTCTCTTACTCTTCTCCTCCTCATAGGATCCTCCAGAGCTGCTGCTGTAGCGAGACTCCAGGCGGTGGTGCTGACGGTTCAGGTTACTGTTCAGACCACTGTAGATGTCCAGATGGGTGTAACTGCAGAGAACAGAGAGAGACAGCTGTAGTCTCACAGGTCGGTCGGTCGGTCTGGTCTCGGTCTGTGTGTGTGTGTGTGTGAACATGTTGTGTATGAATCTCATACCTGTCGTCCATGTTGGGGTCTTTGTTCTTGCTGCTGTCATGGTGACCGTCGGTTCCTGGCACCATGGTGTTACTGCTGGAGGTGGTTCCTGTGGACAGAGATCGGGAAAGGCATCTAGGAACTATGGCAACAAGGTTTAGGAGGAACATGACAAAATGTTATGACATTATGACAGTCATACATACACTCCAAAAGTCCATGAGGAAGTAGATGGGGGAATAAGTACCATAGAAACATCAAGCATCTATTTTATATCCCAGGACAGTGGGGCTATAACATAGAGGAGGGACATGTATAGAAGACAGTGGACAGTGTGATATATACCTGCTGAGGTGACGGAGGGGATCTTGTAGCTGGAGGTGATGCGGTAGTAGGGAGGGTTGTCCATGTGAGTGACAGCAGAGCTCACTGGGTCTGTCAGGTCCAGCTCACACATCAGCTCCTCCAGCAGCTGCATAGTCTTATCCCTGCCCAGGTACACCACCACACGCTTCACCTGAGGACACACACACATAAACACACGTGTTTTAACACACATTTGAGATGACCAAATAATGGTTGGATATGGGAGGTGTGTGAGGGAGAGAGGATAGTGTGTGCAAACTGGACTTACATAGGGCAGGAGGCTGGGCTCACTGTTGACCCCTGACATGCTGATGAGGAAATGCAGGATGATCTTCAGGTTCTTTGGCCAGCTATCTGCCAGTGTGGTCCACACGTTCTCTATCTCTGACCACGCAAACTCATCCCCGTACTGCATATACAAGAGCAATACAGTTCAAACACAGTGAATTTCGTGTATGTGTGTGTGTATGTGTGTGTGTAGTGTTAGGTTGCGGTCGTACCTTGGCAGTCATGAACATGAGGTTGTTGAGCACCATGGTGGTGGCGTGCGGGGAGCCCCAGCCCTCCCCTCGGAGCCAACGGCGGCTGTTGACCATCATCATATCACGCTCGTGGGCGTCCTCCTCATCCTCACAGACGGGGGTCTCCTCCTGTCGCCGTGGCGACGGCTTGAAGTCCACCAGCTCCACGTTGTTCATCCAGGGCAGGAGGTAGTGCAGCATCACCTGGCGACCACCAGGGTGTGCTGTCTGGATGCGCTGGCTCACCTCTGGGGTAGAAAACAGCACAGTCACCACATCAATAAGAGTCAAATCTGTACCAAATGCCAAAGCTATTGCTGGAGGCCTGAATCTCAAATGACAGACTATTTCCCTTATAGAGCACTACCTTGACCAGGATGTCATTTAAGATTTGCCTAAAGAGGCAGATGACTATGTGACAGTGTGTGATGTGTGTGTGTGTGTAACAGTGCAGACCTGAGAAGATGGGCAGGGTGAGCTCTGGGTATGTCCTGGCCAGCTCCTCAGACAGCTGGTAGTAGGAGACAGAGTAGAGGTGTGGCAGCGGGGAGGGAGGGGTCAGGATCCCATCTGTTCTCTGGATGTCCAGTTTATGAGCGTAACGGAAGAGCTTGGGCTCCAAAATCTGGGGAACAGAACCACACAGAGAAAAATCACATTTAGTAAATACTGGACTAAAGCCAGCTGACACGGGCAGTATATAAACATGGTGTCCAGGAATGTGTCAAACCAACCTGCAGCAGCTGCATGGCCACCTCATAGATATCTCTGGATGAATCAGCCGCCTTGAACAGGATCAGATTCAGCAGCACCACAGTGTCAAACTGGTAATCCCTGTAAAGCATATGATATTAATCATATTAGAAGATGATGGATTACAGCATTTCAGTTAATACACAGAGAAACACAAACACGCACTATAATCAGAGTAATAAATCGGAGACGTGCCTGTTGTGAAAGACATTGGCGATGGCCCTGAAGCAGCCGGCAGCCACGCGGCGTGAGCCAGTGTAGCAGCGGTCCACAGCCCAAAACATCAGGTTACTCTGGTCTGGGTTCAGCTCCAACAGCAGCATCACCGCCTCACAGCCCAACTGGTGCACCTGCAGGGGGGAGACAGACACCATCAGGGACCATTAGCACAAGCCCTCCATATACACTGCACTCAGTGAGGCACCTCAAGAGTCAAGCCATTTCCTTTCCTTCATCCGCACCACTAAATAATTAAATTGTGAAAGTTTAGTCTTATACTGCTTTGCGATCAAATCAGTGCAGATGAAGGACAGTAGGTGGTAATCAAGGAATGGTTTAAGCCCAGCAGTGAGGCTGCAGTGTAGAAGGGCTCATCTCTTACCTTTCTGTCCTGAGAGTCCAGGATGTTGTCCAGCCACTTGTAGAGATAACCATCAGAGGAGAGGCCTACGTTATCAGCCACTGGACCACAGCACAACACTGCAGACATGGCCTACAAACCCACAGTAGACAAACATTTACCACATCCTGACTCAGAAGTGTTTAGAGTGTGTGTGAACAGCTGGTTGTACCTTGAGAGCACAGTACTGGTGTCGGTTGATCTGCATGTTGCGGTCGCTGTAGCGGTCCAGTGGGGTGAACATGATGCTGAAGGGCCCGGCCCAGTGGCTGAACAACATGAACAGACTGTGTCTTAGAGACTGCTGGGGGAAGATAGTCCTCCTCTGGTGCACTGGTGGGAATACACACAGAGATGTCAAACAAAAATGGACAAAACACACATATACAGAATTTTACACTTTGTAGTGTGTGTGTGTGTGTGTGTGTGTGTGTGTGTGTGTGTGTGTGTGTGTGTGTGTAGTACCTGGGACGTTCTGAATGATGTTAGCCACCAGAGCACTGAAGTGGCAACGGATGTCTTTAAGCGTATCTGAGTCTTTGTCATTCTCAGCCTCCAGCAGCTGTCTCGTCAGATCCACATACTCCAACAGTATTGAGTTCAGAGAGTGACTCTCCCCGTCCAGACCTCCACTCACCCTGCACACACACAGCGGGTAAACGACAGGGGTCAGTAAATTCAAAGATGGAAGGTCCATGATTCTTTACTAGGATACTATAACCATATGTAGTTATTTCTCTATTAGGGCATCTGGCCTGGTTTCCACTCACGTCTGACTGATGACACCAGCATCAGCCAGCAGCTCAAAGATCCGGACCAGCTGGACCCTCAGGATGTCACGACGCCTGCGTCGCTTCATGTTCTGCAACAAGAGAGGAGAAGAGTCAGTACTGAGCAGGGCCAGTGTTGTAGGTAGTACAGTGTTTTGATGTTCGATACATGAATGAGATGTGAGGGGTTCAGTGAGCTGCACCCACCTCAGGTCTTCTCTCCAGAGCCTCCTTAATGATGGGGTTCAGTTCCTCTATCAACTCTCTGGAAGACAATAGAAGTTAAGGTAAACATGCCCACACACACTTACTCACCCATTACATACTGTACCTACTAACCAAATAACCCCAAACCAGGACATATTCAAATATGCAAATTCAACCACAGGCAACTCAAAACAACAAAGATATGACTATCAGCCACATGCACACAGGGGGGCGGCTCCCTCACCTGAAGGCCACAGGGTTGGTCCTGCCAAGCCCCAGGACGAGTGACTCAGTGATGTCCATGCTCTCAGAGCGCATCATTGGGACAACGTGTTTGAACAGGGATGAGGGGGACGGAGTGCCAATAATCTAGATACACACAAAGATCACAAATCGATATGACAACTAAAAATCATTTCTAAAATCTCTAACTAAAGGAAATAAATATAGTAAAAAAAAATGCTATTTTTTCAACTTGGCATAGGAATGATCATTGACCGCACCCACGTAAAAAATTTGCAAAATGTATAGAATTTTTTTGGGATAGGGGGTCACTACAGGGTCATGCCCTCTGACCTTTGAGTCGTAGCTGTAGCCGCTGTCCGGCGTGGACGCCAGCGTCTCAGGCGGGGAGCAGCGGACGGAGCCAGAGGTGGAGGAGGAGGAGGAAGAGTTGGGGGAGGAGGTGGCTGAGCTACAACAGAGGATCAGGTAGTTCCTCCACAGCCCCAGGTACGAGTCACTACTGCTGCTCAGGCTGTTCAGCTTCTTAGCATTTATAGGGCTGCTGCAGGGGAACAGGTCAAAGATTAATAACAGGCAGGTGGTATTAGAATATTACTGCCACATATACACATACAACCTACATACACACATTATAAAAAGACAGGCACCAACTCTCGTCATCACAGGGCTCATATCCATATACAGCTGAGAGATTTATTAGGATGATGTTATCCACAATCACAAGCCGAGTCTCCAGTGATGGTGTTTACCGTACGGTCACCATAGACGAACCGGTGACATCATCCAGCACGCTAATGAGCAGACTGCAACCACATCCATTCTAAGTGCCTTTTTACAACCTAAAATGTAACGTGCACACACACACACACACACACGAGAGCCACATTTACAGAGTAAGGCCTAGAGACATACTTTATATCCACTTGTGGAGAGAGCAGCTGTAGGCGTGTGTAGGCGAACATCCAGGCGTAATTGAGTGCAGTGGGGCAGTGCTTGGGCAGGTGCTCCTGGCGCAGGTAGCTGGACAGGCTGATGACCCAGGGGTCCTGGCCCTGCGTCACGTGGGCAAACACCCAGATGTGTGATGGGCTGACAACGTCAAACTGGTGGCTGATGGGAGACGAGCTCCATTCTGCCAGTGTCTGCAGGTCGATACCGCTGGGGCAGTATAGCAGGTTGGTCTGCAGGGGAGAGGGGAGAATGGGGGTCAGGGTGTGTGTGTGTGTATGTGTGTGTGTGTACTGTATTACACAACAGCTTTGTCATTCTTACCTGGTCAGCTCCTGTGAGATGGATGAAGCTCTCCAGCACAGACGCACTTAGTCTGTCCATCACATCTATGGCCAACTCCTCATCTCCCTGAGAGAGACAGACAGAAACCATGAATGTGAGTCTCTTGCACCTTACTTGAGGTTACTTTAGAAACACTGCATCTCATTCTTTTTGTCACTTTTAGATCCCCATCTATCAGCGAGTTGGTAGTTACCTTGGCGATGCCCAGAGCGGTGTGCAGGGCTCGGACCTCTTTGAGGACATTAACAGCCAGCCTCCGAGTGGCGGGGCGGCAGCTGCACAGCACCACCAGTGCCAGGCCCTCCACCACGTGCAGCACCCCCCACAGAGGAGAGCGCTCCAGGGGCAGAGACGGCCCGCTGCCAGGGCCCTGCTGGAGCACACACACAAACAGACAGAGTTACTTTCTCACACAAACCCAAGTCAAAATACACAATAACCCTACTACTACTACAGTACAGAGCAAGGAGTTAGAAAACTTTTCCTTGTACAGAGTTAAAAACACACAGAACAGACCACAATGTAACCGGACAAAAAGAGATGCCATAGCTATCCACTCCCCACCCACCTTGTTGCTGGTCTGGACGGCCTGCCTCCACTGGCTGATGAGCTGCAGCAGCATCTTGATGGCGTTGTCTAGCAGCGTGGGGTGGACGTCAGTGACCTCACGCACAATGAAGTAGACAAAGCCAGAGAGCACGTCCTCCCTCCACTCTGGGAAGTCCACCATCAAGGCCTGCAGGGTGGTGAAGGCCAGGCCACGCAGCTCCTCATCCATGTGGATGGTCAGCCTTAGGAGGAGGAGACACAGGTCAAACAGTCACAAACAGAGCTTTTTAAAGACCGCTTTCGCAGTCCTTCCTAGTGATGCAGAAAATAAAAGCCCCATTGCTTTGTTCTTCAATTACTCCCAGAAAGAGGTTGTACATGTGAAGGAGTGGGGTCCTTACTTGGCTAGCAGCTCGATGAGGTCCTGTCTGCTCATACCGTCTGGGATCAGTCTGGGGATGGCCGCCACACACGTACGGAATAGATCGATCTTTGGCTTCCTCTCCCCCCTGCAACACAACACACAGTTTACAAACGTGTAAAGGACACACACAGTAAAACACCCATGTTATGGGTCACATACAGTGCTTTCAGAAAATATTCAGACCCCTTGCCCTTTCCCCATTTTGTTACGTTACAGCCTTATTCTAAAATTAATTCAATTGTTTTTTCCCCCTCAATACCCCATAATGACAAAGCAAAAACTGGTTTTTAGAAATGTTTGCTAATATACAGTGGGGGAAAAAAGTATTTAGTCAGCCACCAATTGTGCAAGTTCTCCCACTTAAAAAGATGAGAGAGGCCTGTAATTTTCATCATAGGTACACGTCAACTATGACAGACAAATTGAGATTTTTTTCCTCCAGAAAATCACATTGTAGGGTTTTTAATGAATTTATTTGCAAATTATGGTGGAAAATAAGTATTTGGTCACCTACAAGCAAGCAAGATTTCTGGCTCTCACAGACCTGTAACTTCTTCTTTAAGAGGCTCCTCTGTCCTCCAATCGTTACCTGTATTAATGGCACCTGTTGGAACTTGTTATCAGTATAAAAGACACCTGTCCACAACCTCAAACAGTCACACTCCAAACTCCACTATGGCCAAGACCAAAGAGCTGTCAAAGGACACCAGAAACAAAATTGTAGACCTGCACCAGGCTGGGAAGACTGAATCTGCAATAGGTAAGCAGCTTGGTTTGAAGAAATCAACTGTGGGAGCAATTATTAGGAAATGGAAGACATACAAGACCACTGATAATCTCCCTCGATCTGGGGCTCCACGCAGGATCTCACCCCGTGGGGTCAAAATGATCACAAGAACGGTGAGCAAAAATCCCAGAACCACACAGGGGGACCTAGTGAATGACCTGCAGAGAGCTGGGACCAAAGTAACAAAGCCTACCATCAGTAACTACGCCGCCAGGGACTCAAATCCTGCAGTGCCAGACGTGTCCCCCTGCTTAAGCCAGTACATGTCCAGGCCCGTCTGAAGTTTGCTAGAATGCATTTGGATGATCCAGAAGAGGATTGGGAGAATGTCATATGGTCAGATGAAACCAAAATAGAACTTTTTGGTAAAAACTCAACTCGTCATGTTTGGAGGACAAAGAATGCTGAGTTGCATCCAAAGAACACCATACCTACTGTGAAGCATGGGGGTGGAAACATCATGCTTTGGGGCTGTTTTTTTGCAAAGGGACCAGGACGACTGATCCGTGTAAAGGAAAGAATGAATGGGGCCATGTATCGTGAGATTTTGAGTGAAAACCTCCTTCCATCAGCAAGGGCATTGAAGATGAAACGTGGCTGGGTCTTTCAGCATGACAATGATCCCAAACAAACCGCCTGGGAAACGAAGGAGTAGCTTCGTAAGAAGCATTTCAAGGTCCTGGAGTGGCCTAGCCAGTCTCCAGATCTCAAAACCCATAGAAAATCTTTGGAGGGAGTTGAAAGTCCGTGTTGCCCAGCGACAGCCCCAAAACATCACTGCTCTAGAGGAGATCTGCATGGAGGAATGGGCCAAAATACCAGCAACAGTGTGTGAAAACCTTGTGAAGACTTACAGAAAACGTTTGACCTGGGTCATTGCCAACAAAGGGTATATAACAAAGTATTGAGAAACTTTTGTTATTGACCAAATACTTATTTTCCACCATCATTTGCAAATAAATTCATTAAAAATCCTACAATGTGATTTTCAGGATTTTTTCCCCTCATTTTGTCTGTCATAGTTGACGTGTACCGATGATGAAAATTACAGGCCTCATCTTTTTAAGTGGGAGCACTTGCACAATTGGTGGCTGACTAAATACTTTTTTTCCCCCACTGTATACAAATAAAAAAAATGGAAATATCAAATTTACATAAGTATTCAGACCCTTTACTCAGTACTTTGTTGAAGCACCTTTGGCAGTGATTACAGCATCGAGTCTTCTTGGGTATGACGCTACAAGCTTGGCACAGCTGTATTTGGGGAGTTTTTCCCATTCTTCTCTGCAGATCCTCTCAAGCTCTGTCAGGTTCGATGGGGAGCGTTGCTGCACAGCTATTTTCAGGTGTCTCCAGAGATGTTAGATCGGGTTCAAGCCCGGGCTCTGGCTGGGCCACTCAAGGACATTCAGACACTTGTCCCGAAGCCACTCCTTCGTTGTCTTGGCTGTGTGCTTAGGGTCGTTGTCCTGTTGGAAGGTGAGTGAACATTCGCCTCAGTCTGAGGACCTGAGCGCTCTGGAGCAGGTTTTCATCAAGGATCTCTGTACTTTGCTCCATTCATCTTAGTCTCCCAGTCCCTGCCGCTGAACAACATCCCCACAGCATGATGCTACCACCACCATGCTTCACCGTAGGGATGGTGCCAGGTTTCCTCCAGACGTGACGCTTGGCATTCAGGCCAAAGAGTTCAATCTTGGTTTCATCAGACCAGAGAATCTTGTTTCTCACGGTATGAGAGTCTTTAGGTGCCTTTTGGCAAACTCCAAGCGGGCTGTCATGTGCCTTTTACTGAGGAGTGGCTTCCGTCTGGCCACTACCATAAAGGCCTGATTGGTGGAGTGCTGCAGAGATGGTTGTTCACCTCCCTGACCAAGGCCCTTCTCCCCCGATTGCTCAGATTGGCCGGGCAGCCAGCTCTAGGAAGAGTCTTGGTGATTCCAAACGTATTCCATTTAAGAATGGAGGCCACTGTGTTCTTGGGGACCTTCAATGCGGCATATATTTTTTGGTACCCTTCCCCAGATCTGTGCCTCGATACAATCCAGTCTCGGAGCTCTACGGCCAATTCCTTCGACCTCATGGTTTGGTTTTTGCTCTGACTTGCCCTGTCAACTGTGGGACCTTATATAGACAGGTGTGTGCCTTTCCAAATCATGTCCAATCAATTGAATTTACCACAGGTGGACTCCAATCCAGTTATAGAAACATCTCTAGGATGATCAATGGAAACAGGATGCACCTGAGCTCAATTTCGAGTCTCATAGCAAAGGGTCTGAATACTTATGTACATAAAGGTATCTGTTTTTGTTTTTTTATACATTTGCAAAAAATTCTTAAAAACTGTTTTCGCTTTGTCATTATGGGGTATTGTGTATAGATTGCTGAGGATTATTCTTTTATTTAATCCATTTTAGAATAGGGCTGTAACGTAACAAAATGTGGAAAAAGTCAATGGGACTGAATACTTTCCGAAGGCACTGTATATTTTAAGTCAGAGAGGCACTTACGTGATCATATCCTCAGGCTCCTTATTGGACATCTGGACGTTGGTCATGCTCATGGAGCGCCCTACCTCCTTGTCCAGGTGACGCAGGATGTTGTCCAGGGCCTTCCTCACTGCTGGGTAGTACAGTGACATGCCTACAAACACACACATATTCATTACTCTCACACTACACACTGGACCCTAAAATGACCCACTCCCATAAGCTTATTTATTTATTTGATACATGTATTTGACAGGTAGAGTGCACAATAATCAACATTTCAGGTTCAACATCAATGTAAAATTGCCAGAGTTAGCAACAAAGCTAGTCATATAGGAGTCATATGGCCCGTTGTGATGGGGACGGAGCTCAGAGGTGTTGACCTACCGATGACCTTGGCCTCCTCGTCAGTGAGGGTGGTGGCGAGGAAGATCTTCTTGACCCGCAGGGTGTTTCCTGAGGGCATGTTGGCCCCTGTGGTGGGCATGGGCGGTTCCCCGTCCTTCTGCTGAAGACTGTCAGCTATCACCAGGAAGGCCCTCAGGCCAATATTCATCCTCTGAGAGAGAGAGAGAGCGAGAGAGCGAGAGAGCGAGAGAGCGAGAGAGCGAGAGAGAGGCAGGAAGGGACACTCAGAGAATGAAGAGTGCAATCACAGTGAGAGTATGACTGGATTATTACTGTTGTCTCTCGGCTATCTCTTACCTCTGGATTGATGGTGAATGTCTTGTGAGATTTGCCCACACACAGGAGGTCATAAATGATCTCCTTCATAGCAAAGTCTAGCCTTTCCTGTGAAATGAGCCACAACAGACCAATAATCACTAATCACAGATAAGATAAAAGCCACTACCTGCAGTTTAGCTGAATTATATGGGAATCACTACTCCAGCATGGCCTCATAAGACATACCTGAGCTATAAACTGGATGATCTTGACGAAGATGTTGAGTGGTGTGTCCCGGGGCACCACGCTACGGGAGCCTTTGGGGAAAAGTGCTGAAACGATGCTAAGCAGCCGGCTGCAGGAAAAAGGAGAAGATTAAAGGGTTAAACTGGGATGTTCACAGAGGAGACTGTAGACTAGATCAGTTCTGAGTGTAGATGGGATTCTAGTTCTACCAAAGGAGTGATGTGGACACTTGCTTTGTTCTATATGGTGATTTAGGTGCTGGTCTGGATGACTTTCATTTGACAGTGTCAGTTCATACAGAGATAGTGTGGAGTGGGCCCACAGTTAGCCTGTTCTGTCCGGGCTGGTACTGACCTCTGTGTGACGGTGTTGCTCTCACACTTGATCCTGATGATATAAACCCACAGCAGTCTGTAGAGTGACTCCAGTGCCACACGGGACATTTTAGGATCTTTGTTCTAAAGGGTCAGAGAGAGAACACTTTCTTCACCCACCTGTCATCATGTGGAGATGTCTTCTCACTGTGACAGACTGAAGTCTGGTGTGGGGCGTGCCACAGAAGCAGGGATCTGACACACAAACCATTCAATTTGACCTACTGTACTGAATGAGGCAATTTATATGGCCCGTTTCATTTATAGAGATGTTTGAGATGTCCCAGTGATGGATAAATGACTCACAGCTGTGATTTGATAATGAGTCTGCTTCAGCGCTAACAGCCTGTCAGATTCATACATTAGTTACACACTAATTACATTTATGATTTATGAATAATCTCAAATAAACTACTGATGTATGAGATTGTTGAAATGATTTAAGCTGGTCAAAAACAAATCTGCTCCAGAGTGACCCTGTCTATATATAGATACACAGCACGTTATGCTAGGTGTAGTTTGTGATGCACGTTATGCTAGGTGTAGTTTGTGATGCACGTTATGCTAGGTGTAGTTTGTGATGCACGTTATGCTAGGTGTAGTTTGTGATGCACATTATGCTAGGTGTAGTTTGTGATGCACGTTATGCTAGGTGTAGTTTGTGATGCACGTTATGCTAGGTGTAGTTTGTGATGCACGTTATGCTAGGTGTAGTTTGTGATGCACGTTATGCTAGATGTAGTTTGTGATGCACGTTATGCTAGGTGTAGTTTGTGATGCACGTTATGCTAGGTGTAGTTTGTGATGCATGTTATGCTAGGTGTAGTTTGTGATGCACGTTATGCTAGGTGTAGTTTGGGATGTTCCAAACTCCGGGGAATGTTTGTACAGCTGAGCGTTCCCAAAAATCTGTGACTAAAGGTGCAATTACACAGTGCTGCCCATCAAATCCACGCACACAACATACACTCCAATATCAACACAGCTGACCGCCATACAAAGGATTATTTCAAGGGTACTGCAATGCCCTTTCCACCCATCAGTGGGCCATGGAGCTGCGAGGGTGCAGCACACAGCAGCATGTCAACACCACTGATAAGATAATTGGGTGTAACTCGGGACTATTAGAGCACACAAAATGCTGCAGTACTCTATGGGTCTCCAAAAAGAAACTACAATGATCAATTTGGTACGAGTCCTCAGATCAAGGAGTAAGGTAGGTGTCTGTGAATGTGTGTGCGTGATGCATGATGCAGTCCACTCTATTGACATCACCAGCACGATGCTCTAACCTCTACTAAATGTTTTACATTTTAGTCATTTAGCAGACGCTCTTATCCACAGCAACTTACAGTTAGTGAGTGCATACATTTTTTCATACTGGTCCCCCGTGGGAAACAAACCCACAACCCTGGCGTTGCAAGCGCCATGCTCTACCAACTGAGCTACACGGGACTACAAAGCCATAACCCCTGATAAAGACAAAGCAGCAAGGTGCAAGCCAACATTGCATCTCAAAGAAATGTGTGACTATTAGCCAAGTGTCCAACCACTACTTTCTCTGTAATATTATCTCCAAAAGTTTCACTTTAAGAGGACTACCAGCCTCCAGAGCCTCGTTACCCTTGGCTAAGTAGCTGCATCCTCTCTGTCCTCCAGGACGAGGTCAGATGACCTCTTGGATGGTGTCATGCCACCATACGGACACCAGACAAACTCACCTGCAGTGTCTCAATCTGCTTTCGGATGCTGTTGTTAGACGGCATCTGGAGCAAGTGAAAATGTGAGACAAAACGACAGGAGACACGGAGTGTGAGGATGTGGGGAGGTAGACATGCAGGTTAGAAAGAGAACAGAGCGACAAAATATAATAGAAACACAAAAATGACAAGTGCGACAAAAACATAAAAAACTCACTCCTAACTGACTTCCATCCACTTGAATCAGTCTCATATTAGACACAGAAGATGCAAAGTATGAAATGCAAAAGCAGTAACATTGATACGTCCCAAAAAAAACATTCATCAATAATGTTGTATAAAGACTAATATAGCCCAAATGAAATTCTTCACATTTCGACATGTACCTTAATAATCTAATATTTCATACTTTGTGAAAGTGAAAAGAGATGAAAGATGTGCAATATAAATTGACAGGGAAGGCAGAAAACACACACAATGCAGGCCAGGGGTGAAGCAAGTAAGAAGTAAGTGGATAGATAGTGCGAGGAGAGGGACAGTGAAAGGAGACCAGGTAGGAAAAAAAGCTGTACGTTACGACTATAACACCCACAATCGACTAGGCTCAGAAATCTTATCAGGTCCTCCTATCCCATCATTAGTCTGATACAATGTACAAAATGTATCATTTTAACCCCATTTAGTTTGATCTCCTTAACAAGATAAGGCACTAAACTGAATGGATTTGAATCAGCATTTGAATTGATCATCTGAGAACAAGGACAGGGTTAAAATGGCCCAGTGGACAATAGGAGCTAAATCACGCATTCCCAAACAAATCTCCACCAGAATCATGGTTCCACCACAAAAACAAGGGAGATTACATTAGCACCAAATAGGCTTATCTAAATCACCACTTAGGGGGTCAATTAAAAACTATGGAATCTAATCTCTCACAGGGAATCAAAAGCAACTGAATCACCACCTGATTGTGATCATAGAGTCAGTTCAACAACAGTCATCAGAGAATCACCACCACAAGAGCAAAGGGAATTATAGCACATGTCCACCATGGAATCAGAGGGAATCAATCTCCACAAGGGAATCAATTCAGAGTTGAGGAGCGAGGAGACAGTCACACAACAGTGCATCTGGGCTGAATTAGCTTGAGGATGGTACAGGAGAGGAGCATGATTGACTGGCTTGATCGGTTTGTGATTGGTTTGCAGGGGGTTGTCGGACAGGGGAGGAGGAAGATATGATCATTAAGGCACACCCTTTAAACCAAAAACACCTCATGGAGCCAGTTGTGGTGTGCAGGGGATATCTAACATCGCACTATGACAACTAACAATGTACCTGGGCTAAAGAACATTATGCAAGAGCACTAAGGTTTCAGTCATAGTAACAGTAATAAATGATATAACTTGGTATGCAATAAACATGTGAAATTGGCATGGAAGTCTGCATTTTCCTTCATAGGCCAGTATACTAGGTGTTAGGTAACTGGTTGAGGTGATTGTGCTGTGTACCTTCAGGTGCGAGAGGCAGTTTGTGAGGAAGATGTGCCAGTTATTGAGGAAGAACTGCTTCTGACTGACACACAGCAGGCATGTCACCAGAGGATACAGAGCCTGAAAGAGAGAGAACACATGTCAACCACAGAAGAGAGGGGAAGTGAACGAGAGGGGAAAGAGAGAAGTGGGAAAGAGGGAGATGATGGTGTGAGAGAGATTAAGAGTTAACAAGTTGACGTCATAAAAATAAAAGGAAACAAGACATAGGAGAGAGAAGTGGGAGGGAAGGTCCAGATGACCGCGTGAGAAAATAGATGAAAGCAACCGAATTGACTTTACCAAAGAGTGCTTCTTTCTGGAGCTAAGGTCAAAGGTTGTCTGGTAGAGCATCTCCACAAAGTTCTTGAGGCACGGCACATTGACTTCATTCTTCACCGCCTGCATGGAGGGAAGGAGCGAGGGAGGAAGGAAGGTGTCACCACTGAGCTCATTCAATACGTGCGACCGAAATGGTACCCTATTCCCTAAATAGTGCACTACTTTTCACCAGAGCCCATACAGTGAGGGAAAAAAGTATTTGATCCCCTGCTGATTTTGTACGTTTGCCCACTGACAAAGAAATTATCAGTCTATAATTTTAATGGTAGGTTTATTTGAACAGTGAGAGACAGAATAACAACAACAAAATCCAGAAAAACGCATGTCAAAAATGTTAGAAATTGAATTGCATTTTAATGAGGGAAATAAGTATTTGACCCCCTCTCAATCAGAAAGATTTCTGGCTCCCAGGTGTCTTTTATACAGGTAACGAGCTGAGATTAGGAGCACACTCTTAAAGGGAGTGCTCCTAATCTCAGTTTGTTACCTGTATAAAAGACACCTGTCCACAGACGCAATCAATCAATCAGATTCCAAACTCTCCACCATGGCCAAGACCAAAGAGCTCTCCAAGGATGTCAGGGACAAGATTGTAGACTTACACAAGGCTGGAATGGGCTACAAGACCATCGCCAAGCAGCTTGGTGAGAAGGTGACAACAGTTGGTGCGATTATTCGCAAATGGAAAAACACAAAGAACTGTCAATCTCCCTCGGCCAGGGGCTCCATGCAAGATCTCACCTCGTGGAGTTGCAATGATCATGAGAACGGTGAGGAATCAGCCCAGAACTACACGGGAGGATCTTGTCAATGATCTCAAGGCAGCTGGGACCATAGTCACCAAGAAAACAATTGGTAACACACTACGCCGTGAAGGACTGAAATCCTGCAGCGCCCGCAAGGTCCCCCTGCTCAAGAAAGCACATATAAAAGGGCCATCTGAAGTTTGCCAATAAACATCTGAATGATTCAGAGGAGAACTGGGTGAAAGTGTTGTGGTCAGATGAGACCAAAATGGAGCTCTTTGGCATCAACTCAACTCGCCGTGTTTGGAGGAGGAGGAATGCTGCCTATGACCCCAAGAACACCATCCCCACCGTCAAACATGGAGGTGGAAACATTATGCTTTGGGGGTGTTTTTCTGCTAAGGGGACAGGACAATTCACCGCATCAAAGGGACGATGGACGGGGCCATGTACCGTCAAATCTTGGGTGAGAACCTCCTTCCCTCAGCCAGGGCATTGAAAATGGGTCGTGGATGGGTATTCCAGCATGACAATGACCCAAAACACATGGCCAAGGCAACAAAGGAGTGGCTCAAGAAGAAGCACATGAAGGTCCTGGAGTGGCCTAGCCAGTCTCCAGACAGTAATCCCATAGGAAATCTGTGGAGGGAGCTGAAGGTTTGAGTTGCCAAACGTCAGCCTCGAAACCTTAATGACTTGGAGAAGATCTGCAAAGAGGAGTGGGACAAAATCCCTCTTGAGATGTGTGCAAACCTGGTGGCCAACTACAAAAACGTCTGACCTCTGGATTGCCAACAAGGGTTTTGCCACCAAGTACTAAGTCATGTTTTGCAGAGGGGTCAAATACTTATTTCCCTCATTAAAATGCAAATCAATTTATAACATTTTGTACATGCGTTTTTCTGGATTATTTTGTTGTTATTCTGTCTCTCACTGTTCAAATAAACCTACCATTAAAATTATAGACTGATCATGTCTTTGTCAGTGGGCAAACGTACAAAATCAGCAGGGGATCAAATACTTTTTTCCCTCATTGTATATAGGGTGCCATTTCAGACGCATCAAATGACATTAGCCAACCGAATGTGCTTTTTATGGTAACTAACGCAGAGGAATCTCTTATACAGAAAGGCTCTATGCTACTATTAACTTGTCTAGCTATAACCAATGTGGGGTTTCCCATGTTTTGTGTTGTTGTCTGAGTGGTACTCACAGCAGCAACAGGGATGAGGATCTCAACAAACAGGCCAGCCAACGCATGCTTTATGTCTTTATCCTTCACCTCCAGGAAATACTGGGCACACTCCTGAGGAACACAGAGGCATACCAACATGGATGAGGACAAACAGAGTGACACATACATAAACAGAAACCAAATAGACTAAATGAAAAACAATAGACTGTGCAACAGATTCTCACATATGGGCAGAAACCAACAGACGTAAAGGGAGTGTGGTGGCACCAATAAACTACGGCAGATTACCCAACATGTTCCATTAGCACGCTGGGAAATCAGGGCTTGTTAAGAGGGGAGCATATTGAGCGAGCTTTTTACTGCCGTATTGAGCTTAACGAAAAGGCCTTGCTCCGTTCAGTGCTCTTGGCACAGTGATCTGCTATCTGATCGTTACTCATCTGGCTTTATGAGGCTCTGCTACAGAGAGCTGCTGAGCACAAACAAAACGTCTGCGGTAAAACATAGTTCAGCAGAGAGCCATCAGATCCCCATATGCAGCCACACAGACACAATCAGATATACAGTACTGTACAGTCTGGGCATCCAATAGACTAGATACACGCCTGTTGCTTGGACACGTCAGGGTTGAATTCACTAAAACTGGAGTTTTGAAACAGGGAAGGACTACCTGAACTTGTCCAATAAGAAATGCTTATTTTCTTGTTTTGGTACAGTTTGCCAAGGTGTGCTCTAATGAATACGACCCAGGATAACAGACCTGCATGAACTGGAAGGAGGCCTCAAAGTCCTCCACGGGGTACATCTTGACCCTGAAGAACTTCATGCCCATGATGAGGCTGATGATGCTCTGGACCACGTAGGGGCTCTGCTCCTTCTGCCTCAGCTCCTTCAGCTCTGTGATGAACTTCTTACGCACCGCCTGGAACCTGGAGAGACACACACACAGATTTTGACTAAGTCTTCCATAAGGAGTAGGCTAGTTTAACATATAGTTTAGGAGTAATAGGAGTAAAAAGGAGTGACGTGTTGAGTTATTTGGACTGTTAAGATGACTTGAACTTGGAATAATCTAAGGAGAAAACGCTTACTTTGATTGTGTGAGCACTCCGATTACCTCAGCATACAGGTCTGCGATGATGTGCACATTGCCAGTGTTTGGGCCAGGGTACCTGTCAATCAGAACACATCCATTATCCACCCACACACAGAGAAATAGCTCTAATGATATGTTAACACAGGGGTATGAAGACACTGATCGTGAAACATCAACAGACCTGCTGACGAGCAGCTGAACAAACAAAACCATTAAAGGAAATATCATCCCAAACAATGTGTGATGAAGGTTATGGACGATCAAACAACCTTCTCTCTAAAACCACAAGCATGTAGCTGCATACTGTAGGGTTGAAGCAGCTGAGTGAAGGTTTACTCAAGTTGTCTAACAAGTGCGGGTTGTGTTTTCTTTAAGTGACATTAATGTGGACAGACCATAAAGTCACACATTGGTCATAAAAAACAGTCTATCCAAATACCCATAAAGTAATGAGTGACTCAGCTGCAGAGCCAAAAGCCCTCTGGAATATTCTGTGTGCTAGACTAAAGTATAGTATGTGTATGTGTGCTTGTGTTGCGTTTGTTTACACTCACCCCTCTTTGTGTTTAAAGTGCTTGAATGCCAGGTTCAGAACTTCATGTACTAAAGCATCTGGCACGGGGTGAAGAGGAATCTGTGACGCAAACATAAAAACATCACATCAGTCATATTAGGCACTTCGATACTTCCTTCATGCTGTCTCTCTCCCTTTAGTACCATTCATTATCCTCCCTGTTGGAGCCAAGGACAACCAAGCACTGTGCTCAGTCAAGGTTTGTTCTAAGAGAGTGTGGTTTGGATCTGGATAGTCTGGTGTCGTTCTAGATGCTGTAGGTTTGGATGACGCTCGGTATGATGACATTGCAGTGACAGTGCATGCTGCCTACCACACTGAGGGAGAGGACTCTTCTAACAGACCAGACACAGCACAGACAAACAAACAGGCAGAAGTAAGGTTAAACAGGACTCACCTGTTTTAAAACTTCTACTGAAACTAAACAGAATATGAAATCTATGGCTAAATCCCTCCTCTCCAATAGGTAGTCTTTATCCCGATGCTGTTCATCCCTAGAGAGAGAGAGAGAGGGAGAGCAAGAGAGAGCGCAAGAGAGAGCGCAAGAGAGCGTTATGACAAATTGTTGATTGTTCAGGAGCGGGAGTGGGAGGGGAGGGGAGGACAGGAGAGAGGGATGAGCATCTTACCCTTTGGACTTGGTGCTGGAGCGAGGTCTGTACTCATAAGACTCATCCTCGGTGCCACTCTGCCGCCGGTACCAGTCAAACAGTGTGCGCAGCAGGGAGGGCAAACAGTGTTCCGCTATAGAGCTCATAGAGCTTATTAACTGTGAAAAGAACACACACACACACACACACATTACAATAGCTAGTTATTACAGTTTATCAGATGCAAAACATCCGCCAAGCAGCATGAGAATGTTCATAAAGGTCAAAAACATGAACAATACAAACACAAATCCTCACCAGAACAATCATCTTAAATCACCAATATTACACAAAGATACATACCGAGGTGCTATATTTTATGTGAAAGGCTCCACTATAAGGAGAGATGAGGAGAGAAGAGGATGCAGGGAAAGAGATACAGGGATTGGGAAAACATCTAGAAAGAAAGAAGTGGAGGGGGGGATGAGGGGAGGGGACCGAATCACTGGATGACATACAATAGAGAACAGGATGTATTGATTGGGACTATAAGTGCGGTGTTCGATGACATGTCGAGCACAGTGAGGTCCTATCCTATTTAGCGGCTAGTGCTCCAGCTGCCATAGCGCAGGGCTCTGCAGCTGGCTCTGTTCTAAATACCTCATCAGCACTTTGATCATCAGAATTGCAACCTCATACAGTGAATCTATTACCAACACCTTTGTAGACTAAAAATGGTAGGGGTATATTGCCATAATACTAGCAATTAATATGTTTCTTCTTCAACAACACATACCAGAGCAAACTAAAAGTAAATCTAAGTTCTATGCATGTCAAGTGGTGGTCCTCTGTAGCTCAATTGGTAGAGCATGGCGCTTGTAACGCCAGGGTAGTGGGTTCGATCCCCGGGACCACCCATACGTAAAAATGTATGCACACATGACTGTAAGTCGCTTTGGATAAAAGCGTCTGCTAAATGGCATATTAAGTGTATCGTTTTTACAGTCAGTCAATCTGCAGTGGGGTACAGTAAGTAGCCTTCTACACAATGAATGGCGTGTCTGAATTGTGTGTGTGTGTTGTGAAGGGCAGTGCAGTGTGCTGAGGGTGCTGGATGATGGATGCTGGGAGGGAGAGTTATGCAACTGCTCTCTGTGCCCTCCTGGCGCCAGGCTGACACTCCAGCACCCAACACTGATTTACTGCTAAGGATGACACAGCAATTCTGCTCCCTCTCTCTGTATGCTCGTTCTACCTCACTCAGTCACAATGGAGGCAGCTGGATCTATAGCGCACCATATCCTCATTGGCTTTGTGTTGTGCTGAACAAAGCACTCTGCAGCAGCTCCATTGTTCAGAGTTCTGCAGGCACCAGTCAGAGATCACATACAATGACGGATGGTTGGGGCATTGAGTGGGGATTGATTGGGTGGAGCTGGGGAATTCAACTACTGTATGGATGGGAGGTGGGGGGTCCCATTATGGGCTGGAGGTGAGGGAGAGAGTACATAACAACAATGCATGTGCACACACACTAGAACTCACCTGATCAAATTGTGCATCTTCCCCTCTCTGGAGGGATCGGGACAAGAGTTTCTCCTGAGGGAAAGAAAGACAGAAACAGGGCTGTCAGTCAATTAAGTACTCAACAGAAAAATATAGATTCCTACCATAATAGGAGCCCTATGTCACTCATATTAGCAGACCAGTGGATGTGGGGCCAGGTGAAACAGGAGAGGAGATAGTGGGCCTATATAGTGCGTAATAACTGACAGTGAAGGAGATCTGCTATCAGCCTGGGGCCATTTACCAGCCCCTGAGTAAACAGTCAGTCAGTAGTCTGTCTACCAGCTGACCACTGGACAAACACACCAACCAGGGAAAGGAAATTAAGGGGTGAGAGGCAGGGGAGGTGGCAGCAGAAGAGGGGAGCACTCAGGGAGATGAATAGAGAGATGAATGGAGAGCTGAATGGAGAGAGAGAGCGGTCCATAGGGGAGGGCAGGAGGGGTGGTGTTTAATGACACGTCCCTCTCTTCTCCAGACTGATGTAACACTTTTACTCCCCCTCCAAACATACACATCTCCCAGCAGCCCCTAGCTAGGGCAAGGGATTGTACCTCCCACGGAGTCTTGATATCGGAGTTTAAAAAAACATTATTCCTGGAAAATAACATGCCCCCTATTCTGGGAAATCACACTGGAATGCATGTGCCTCATTTTTCAGACACTAGACGTTCACACCTACACAGGCCTGTGCACACTTCCACGCTGACACACACAAAGCAAAATTCACACACAAACCCCTTTAAGTTTAAGGAGAAGTCTGTGTTCACAGACTGAACACAGGCAGTCACTAGAAACATTTGACTTTTAACCTCTTTGGCCTTTAAGCCAAGTAATGCTCTGTAGCAACCAGGACCTAAGAACTCAGGACACAGCCTGATTGAGGGCTAGTGAGCTAATAGCCTTCCTTCAGTTGTCTTTAATTATAAATCAACCGCTAGGCTAGCCCCTACAACTAGGCACTTCATGTAGATCTGAGAGGTAATAGCATATGTTAATATTAGTCAGAATATTGCTTACACCTAATCAAACTTTTCAGTCAAGTGCCTAAGATTCAGGGTTAGGGTTTGATTTGGAATTTGGTCTTACTTGCGTCCCCCCCCTGCCTCTCGGATCACAGCAACTCACCAGTGGTTCGGCCATCACCACCTCAATCTTCTTCTCGGCCAGCACAGCAAACTCAGCGAACAGGCTCTTGATGACAAATTCCCCAGGCTTGAGCTCGGGGTCGATGATGATGGTGGACATGGCGGAGGCGTTGCGCTTCTCCCACGTCAGGGGGGCCACGGAGGGGGCGCGGCGTCTACTCAGGCTGTTGACCGGGGCTGAGGCTGCAGGGAGGGAGAGGACAGAGGTCAGACTAGGGCTGTCGCGACAAAACATTTAATAAATTGTCGACCGAGAGTAGTCTGTTCTTTCGACCAATATTTAAAACGTATATTTTTCCATATATAGACACACCCTATGTTTTGAATAAATTCAACTATATGTAGGCTAGTGAGCTTGTCTGATGCTTTAAGCACTGCGATAAAAATGAAGACGCACAAATTACAAAGAGGTCAATATAGCCTAACCAGAAGAAGAAAAACATGTTGGTTCCCGATCCTCCTCCCGCTGCTGGCCTCCAGAGATTCTGCCGTTATGCTCCTGAGGTTGCCGTTATGCTCCTGAGGTTGCCGGTAGGTAATAGGCTACACCAGCAGTCGGCAACCTTTTCCATTTGGAGTGCCAAGTTATCCTACCATTTCTGCTGATCTGAGTGCCAGTTATGATTTTCATATGCAAATTTTCATGGAACAGTTTAATTTCATTTATAATAAAATCTTCATATCTCAAAATCAATGTCATGTGGTTAATCAAAATTCTAAATGAAAATGATACACATTTAAAAGTAATTATTGCAATTGCCAATATGTAAAAGTAGCCTACATAAAGTGAATAAATAAAAACATTGCAGCCTGCAGGTAGAAAATATCCTGATGGAAAATAAATATCCTATTTATCACATTGTCTATGCATGGCCTGTCTGCAAGGAACTTGAAACATTGTATCAACTACTGTATTAACTTGGTCCAGCCTGAAGCTCCTCCTAGCAAACTTGCAACATTGTATAAAATAAGAAGTAATCCTGTAGGCCCATTTTATGACGTTTCCACCTGATCAGAGAATGCCATTTTCTCCCCCTAGAAAGGTTAGAAAGGTTTTACAAATAGGCTACGTTGAGGAACTATTGTCATTCTCAATGGATGTAAAAACAGACTTCGTTTACTTGTCCTTTGAGGCAAATCATTTTTTTATTTGAGAAGCTCCACAGTGATGGTGAGTTAAGACAATCAGATTCCCAAATGGGCACACTTTTAGGCCTACATTTGCGTGCAGGCCAAGTAGACTAGTCCTACTTCTATATGCTTAATCAGGTGCGTATCCTTACTCAAGATTGACAGGAGCGCACCAAACAAACTCCAAACTCCTAAATGGAATAAAATAAACAAAGGTTGTGCACTCTGCAAACAACGTGTCTACTCCTACAATGACAACGGTAAGTCTGTAATAATAATAATAATAATAATAATAAATATATTGAATGCATTAACAGAAATTACTAAATAACTAAACAAACATTGTAGATGATAAATGATGGGAATGAAGGGTAAATGTACTACTGGTGATACTGGGGTACCATCCCCGCGGCCTTCGCAATGGATTAGTCCACTCAGACAGGCGTGAATCAGACAGGTGTCTCGTGGGCCATCATTTGTTCAATATATATTTGCCACAGCTTGACTAAAAAAATATTGGTCGACCAACAGCCTATTGATCAAACAATCGACCAGTCGACTAAATGGGGTCAACCCTAGGTCAGATACACTTTTGCTATTCGAACGGTTATAACGGAGACCGTCTCAGCCCATTCAGAGACCAAGCAGGCCAGACAGTGATTCTGAACACCCTCACATGACAGGAGGTCAGGGGTCAGCTATAATCCAAGCAGAAAGAGAATCAACCTCAGAGGAGCTATGCTAGTATGCCAGTTGGTGCTCAGTGAAAAGAAATCTACACATATGCCTAGCCTATAGCCTAGCCATAGCTTGATTTCACTAGAAAAGTTAGCAATCGCCAAACTAACTGCAAGCTATGAAAATTCAGAGTTGGGTAAAAGTGATGTAGCATAGGTCTCACTGGACCCACTGAACTATTTACTAAGAGCAACAATATAATCTCAGATTCACACAACCATTGTACACACCCAGTTATGTAAAGATGAATATTAAGACCAGGTGATCACACCACAGCAAAAAGAGAGAAGTGAAAAACACAAAAACTCAACTGGATGCAGAAAGGTGAATCTGTGCACAGAAGCTCTCAATATTTACACAAGCTTCCTGTAACACATTCCTAGAGGGGTCAGCATAGGAACTCAACTCAAGAGAGAGGAGTGTGTGCATGTGGGAACTTGTGGGAGGGTTGGTACATGCACATGTTTAAATACTGAATATAGCCATCATGTGCGTGCGCATGCGTGTCTGTTCGTAAAGCCTTCATTTGATCTGTGTGCTGTTGGTTTCCCTAGAAACGGGTGAAAACAAACAACCACATTATTCAAACAGAATCCTCCTGTGTCCATCAATAAAACATGGAGCTACACTGAACATTCACTGACATACCAGCACAGCTTGTGCCAACACAGACAACCTTTAACACACAAACTGGTAACATACACACTGCCCAGGATGAGGGGAAAGACAGCTTCCCATTCTGAAGTTTATAAACACACCAACAGGCCTGTTTGCTGCTGGACTAGGACACAGTCTGCTCTGCCAGGAAAGAGGGGACTCTGGGACGGACAGACACTCGTCAGCTGACACCCGACCTTCCTCCTCCCAGGAAACATATCACTGTTTCTTCCTTGTTACCATGGGAACACTGTGTTCCCAAAACTTCAAACAATAGCAAGGACTAAAACGGCACACAGTAGAAATGTATGAGTTTTTCAGAAGAGGAGGAAAGATGTTCACATCCAGCAACTCACCCATTTAAACACTACTGAACAAACAGGGAGACAATGACACACACACAGCTTAGGCTTAACTGATAGATGGTTGCGTAATAGGCCCTAACAAAAGTATTTGCGTTTCAGAGTTGGGTGGCATTTGCCTATACAGTAGTGTTGGGGAGCATTACAGACCTTTCTTTTTTTAAAATCAGCAGCCACACAAGTTAGACCCCTGTTAAGAGCTAGAGGTGGCACCCTTATTAGCAGACTAAACATAATTGGACATTTCTAATGGTTCAGCAAGCGCAACCAACACAGACACGCTGCTTTATGTAAAAGGCCTTAGAGTCGGGGACAGCACAGTGTTGGGGTAACTGGGGTACAATTTTGGGGCGCATCGGTTGAGCGTGGTTAAAATGTTGTTCTGCAGCAGAGAGAGCCTTTCAAACATTCCCTCTTTGTTTACCGTGTTCCACCGACACCCTCTTTCTCCCCTGATGTCACATAGCCAACTCCCTACAGCCAATGACTGGCCTGTGCCCTCAGCCTCCCTCGCTCTTCCTCCTTCTCTTGCTCTCCCCTTCCCTCTAATTCACTCCCTCCCCTTCTCGCTCTCCCCTTTGGCCAGCTGGGCTGCTGACTGCCTGGCTCACAGAAATGAGAAACCCAACATTGTTTGTGCATTTCCACTCAACAACAGTGTGAAGAAAAAATGCAAGGCATCCTTTCCCTGGCCAAGTCTCTGCCTATCTTTCCCTCTCTCTCAATGGGGAGTCATTTGTGACGTGCAACATCTCTCTCCCTTCTAGGGATGGGCATGGTTATTAGAATATCCGAACGGACGTTAGTATTCGAATACTTGCAAGATAATTAATTTGAGGAAACATAGGCCTATTTTAACAATGAAAAGGCTTTGCATAAATTAAATACAATTATCTGACATTGCTACACACAAGGATATACCATGACATACCATTAATTTAATAAAACAAAGTTTTGAATGTAGTTTTTATGACGTGCGCCCCATAAAAACACATACTGTAGCCTACACAGGTTTCACGCACGTGGCTTGGTTGTTGGCACTACAGTCAGAGGCTCTATGTGTAGCAAGGTGAAGTAGGAGATCTCTAATCAATGCAAAATGGATTTTAAATTACGGAATTAAGTTAGCTAAATGAAAAGTAGTTGTAGACAAGGACAGGGAGCGCAGAAAAAAAGCCTCAACTAGTCTAGCTGGAAAGCTAACATCTGGCAATCTTAGCTAGCTTCTTTACATCGATTTGATGCCGTAAAGACAGGCCCTGCCAGGGGGATGATAAATAACCTACGGCATTTACACGTTTGTCTTACTAGCGCGAGTCAGTGGCTACTTTTTCCTCTCTCTCCCTCTTCTGACACACCACCAGCCCATCGCCTGTCCTGCTGCAGAGCGCACCGTATCTCCTGAGTCGCACAGGAAAAAGAAAGTTAAAAACGATCCCAGAAAAATGTATGATATTATTTGAATACTTACATTATTTCAAATGCCCATCCCTACTATCTTCCTTCCCCAACTAACCCCATTGCAAACACTCCAGAGCTTCCACTTGCTGCCTGGCCTGTCACGATACTGACTTACTACTGTACCCAATCCCTCAACACCCCATTCAAATCTGAATGCAAACATGACCTTGTGATGGCAAGTAAACAACTATGCCCTGCCCAGAGTGCTTTGTTATCTTGTCAAGAGGAGGACGTTCTAAAGAGGAACGGACTCTGTGGTATGTATCCGCAAGACTAATAAAAGTGATGCACCTGCACAGCCACTAACCGCTCACCTATTACCAAGATCGTTCTCTTCCTTCTTGCAACACAGAAAAGCTATGCTTTCATTCATTTTGTCAAATTATCACGCAACAGAAATATATTTTCTGTCCCAATAGCTGATAAATTAATGGGCTAAAGATTCTGTGGGTTCCTATGGAAAACCTAGCCCTCCAGGGAGAGCCTAGTAGCTACTGTTCTCTGAGTGGAGATGAACCAGGCCACATGTACTCCATGCTCATCATGCCTAGCGTGCCAGAGGTCCAGAACTCCCAATGCAACAGAGAGAAGAGCCCATGTCTGCAATTAAAACAGAGCACCCAGTTGGATTACACAACTATTAGAGCCTGTGACTCCACCTCATCACTGTAAAAATAGAGCCCTCCCTAAGGCCCTCTCACTTCCGCTCTCAGGACAACCAGGAACAATGGAACGTGGATGTGTTTAGCTGTATGAGAGAGCTAAATGTTGACAATTACAGTACACTGCACGTTTCCAACAATGTGTCTGAACATGTCGAGATCCCAATCTGTGCCTACTGCCCTCTTTCAGTTCCAAATAATACAATCCACAAATCAGATACAACACTGCAGTCAATCTGTCCAATTACTCTCATCACACATGCAATGTAATAGAACTAAAAAGCATTCACAGTGTTTAAAAGGGACATGAATACTCCTGGTGTAACAAGCGGCCTGATGGCAGGGTTGTCTGTACTGAGGCTGGATTATAAACCTGCCAGTACCTAGCAGGATGATCACAGAGCCATCTTGTTATAATGAGTGTTTTGGCTGAGGACAGACTGAGCAGGACAGAGTACACAGAGGGCTGGAACATCAAATACAGGGAAAAATAGAATGAAAGAAAAAGGGAGAGAGCGCGGGAGATAAAGGTTTGTGCAGGGTGGCATAGCGACAGTTGCTGAAACTAGGCCTTACTCCTCATTGTTCTTAGTGAGAGGCCCAATGAAGAGGAGTTGGCAGCCAACACAGAGAGGGGGGACAGAGGGCATTCATTAGAGAAACAGGGGCAAAGGAAGAAAACTGTTTACCCAACGGTCAGCTTGCTTTTCTACTGAAGAGTCAGCAGCTAGCTACAGTAGCAGATTGAATTACCGACCGTTAGAGGTGCAGACTGCCCTGTTTAGTCTGATTTAGAATTAGGGTGCTAGTAGCAGTGTGGCAATCGAAAATAAAGCACCACTAACTTTGCTTGGCTTGCTCCATATTAGCCGGTAACTTGCGTAACTTGGTGCAAAAAGAACATGTCTGGAACGATTGAGAAATGTGTCAATGCTAACAAAACATAATTATTCGATCAGAAATCGGTTACCAAAATGCTAAATTCACTGGGCCACAGATCCTGAGGAAGTATTAGGATAAATATTATGAGACTAAGGCAGAATAGGTTGACTATTCATAGTCAAATGGGTCATCATCACTGTTCAAGAAAAGTGACCATCATTTTCACTATGTGTTTATTTCCCGATAATCAAAAGAACAGATGTACTGAGGCAAACACACACAGCTTCAGTAATGTCCCTTACTGTAACCTTCCAGTAGACTGGGATGAGGACGATGAGTAAGGTCAATAGGATGGAGTACAGGCCCTCTGAGGTGATTTGTGCTGTATACCAATAATAAATGTGAGTCAACGAGAAGACAGATCAATGAGCCATCCCAGAGGATGAGAGAGAGAGAGAGACAGATACAGACAGAGCGAGAGCCAGAGTAGGGTTGGGCGGTATCCAGATTTCCATACCGTTTCTGTACCATACCAGGGTATACAGTATTACCGGAAGTGGACAGAGGTCTTAACGGGTCCAAAAGGTTGGACCCATTCCGAAATGGACATGGGGTTTTCTCACCCGGAAAGCAGCAGAAAAGGCATTTAAACTACTTTATTAACCGGAACTGATAAAGCGCGAGAGGAAGAGGTGCCATTCTAGCAGGCGGGGGAGGGGCCATACAGTGAGCGAGTGACATGGGGAGCATGGAGGGAGAGACGAGAGACAGCAACCAAGCCGACTCGCGCTATAGTAGACTAATAGCTGCCATAGCTAGGTTATTTTTAAAATATGATTACGTAGTACCTGTCTTGACTGCATCAAACTGGAAGAAGCTGGTTATGCTACCTAACGTTAGCTAGCTAGGCTAATTGAGGCTGCATGCGCGTTCACATTCTTACAAATAACAACTCCATTCTCCTGACTGTAGCCTATTGCCACTTATGATTGGCCAATAACAAGAAGCTACACATGCCACTCTAGTGAAAAGAGCAGCAGCATAAATGTTCAGATTCTCTCTCTCTCTACTACAGCAGTCGCGTTCGGATCTGTGCAGGCCCTTCAGACAAGTCGCTTAAGATTACACATTCCTGAGACCTGTGACAATCATATCAGATCCGAACCATGACATTATTTAGAATTATGGATCCGGACACACTCGCATCGGGTCTCGGGTACAGGTGGATCCATAAAGACCTTTTTTTAAGCACAAAACAATTCAGGCAACAGGGATCTTGAAATACCATGGTATATCGCCAAACCCTAAAAAAAAAAAGAGACACCCCCGAGAGAGAGAGAGAGAGAGACACAGAGAGAGAGAGAGAGACACAGAAAGAGAGAGAGAGACCGAGAGAGACACACCCGGAGAGAGAATGAGAGAGAGACCGAGAAACCGAGAGCGAGAGAGACACAGAGACACCGGGCGAGAGAGATCGAGACACAACGAGAGATCGAAACACACCGAGAGAGATACACCGAGAGAGAGAGACCAACCCGAGAGACACACACACACACACCGAGAGACACACAGAAGAGGAGAGAGAGAGATACACACACCGAAGATAGAGAGAGACACAGAGAGGAGAGAACCCATCATGAGAGAGAGAGTACACAACACACGAGATATGATACACAGGCAACCGATATAGAGATCGAACACACACACGATCGAAATTACACCGAGAGAGAGGACACACGCACCGAAGAACGACACACACCGAGAGGACACCAACACACCCGTAGACCCACACAGAGAGAGAGAGATACCACAACACCAGAGAATAAGAGAGACACACCGAAAGAGGGAGAGAACCCAAAAACACAACCGAGAGAGAAGTGGGAGAGAGAAGAGAGAGTAGAGAAGAGAACACAGCACACCGATATACACGAGAGAGAGAGATACCACCCATAGAGATATAGATCGATACACACGATACACCTGAGAGAGATACACCACAAACCGAGAGAGATATCGAGACACAAACACCCACAGCCGAGGAGAGAGATAGAGAGATGATACACACACACCATCCTAGAGATATCGATCGAGACACACAACCCGAGCGAGAGGTCGAGAAACACCCGAAGAGAGAGAGATCTAGAAACACACCAAGAATATAGATCTAGACACACACGCCCCTCCGAGAGATATAATCATACAACACATCCACGGGAGAGAGAGAGATCGAGACGCCACAATACCGCGAGAGAAAGAGAGATCGATACACCACCGAGATAAAAGAGAGATCGAGACCACCCCTGAGAAGCGAGAGAGAGATTCGATACAAAACCCCGAGAGAGAGAGAGATCGAGACACACACCGAGAAGAGAGGTGAGACAACACCCGAGAGAGAGAGATCGAGACACAGCAACCGAGAGATAGAGATCTAGACACACACACACCGAGAGAGCGAGTCGAGCCCAACACCGCTAGAGAGAGAGATCGAGACACACAAACCTAGAGAGATAGATGTGATCAGACCCCCCCGCGAGCGAGAGATCGCGACACACAAACCGATAGAGAGAAGAGATCGATAAGACACACCCCCACCGAGAGAGAGATAGATCTAACACCCACCTAAGATATAGAGATAGAGATCGAGACAACACCACACCTATATAGAGGAGAGATCGATACACACACCGAGAGAGATAAGAAGAGATCGATGACACACAACAACAAACCGAGAGGGATATCTATGCCACCGAAGAGAGAGAATCGAGACACAACCGAGATAGAAGATATCTGCACACACAAATCCGAGATGATAGAGATCGAGACACACAACCTAGTAGAGAGCTTAGATCTGACCACACCCGAGATAGTAGAGATCGAGACACGCAAACCTAATATAGATATCGAGACACAACATAACCGAAGAGAGAGAGATCGAGACACACAACCGAGAGAGAGATATCGGACAACACAACCACAGAACACAACCTATAGATATATGAGAGATCGAGACACACAAGTCAACCGAGAGAGAGGATCGAGACCCACACCTGAAGAGATCTCGACACAACTCGAGATCGAAACAAAACCAACCTATAGAGATACACAAACTCAAACCTAGAAGATAGAGGAGAGAGAGATAGAGAGATCGATACACACACACCGCTAAGAGAAAGAGATATGAGACCAACAAAACCCGTAGATATAAGAGATCTGATACAACAAAAAAACCGAGATAGAGAGAGATCTAGACACACAACAATCCGGAGAGTGAGAGATCGAGACCCACACTGGAGAGAGAGAGAGAGATCGAGACACCCCACCACCGAGAGAGCATATAGGGAGATCGAGACAAATACACACCCTAGAGAGAGGATCGAGACACACCGAGAGAGCGAATCGAGAACACACGAAGAGAGAGAGATCGAGACACACACCGATAGTAGAGAGATCGATACACCAAAACCCGCGAGAGAGGAGAGAGATCGAGACACCCCAACCCGAAGAGAGAGAATCGAGACACACCACCGAGATAGATAGATCGAGACCAACACAAACCTGAGTAGGGAGAGAGATCGGTACACACAACCGCTAGAGGAGATTAGACACACATCAAACCGAGAGCGAGAGAGAGAGATCGAGACACACACCTAGAGAATAGATCGAGACACACACCACCGAAGCGAGAGAGATATCGAGACACACAACCGAGAGCGCGAGATAATCGCTACACAACCCGAGAGGAGAGAGAAGAGATTCTAGCCACCACGTTAGAGAGAGCTCGAGACACCACCAGAGAGAAGATCTAGACGCACACCGAGAGAGTCTCGAGACAACAAACTAGAGTCGAAACCCCAACCGAGATAGATGAACTCCCTGAGAGAGAGAGATAGAGAGAGAGAGAAGATCGGACAAAAACCCACCGATAGAGAGGATAAGAGAGCTCGAGACACACCGAGAGATCGAAAATACACCAGAGAAGAGAGATAGATGAGACACAGACCGATAGACACCAACCGATAGAGCGATAGCCACACACCGAAGGAAGAGAAGATCAACGCAACACACACAACATACAACCGTAGATATATAGATAGAGACACACACACACCGAGATAGATGTAGAGGAAGAGAGAGATAGAGGAGTAGAGACCACCGAGATAGAGGATCCACCCACCCAGAAGACCACACACGCCACCGATAGACACACCCATGAGAGAGCGATACACCCAACAACCGAGAGTAGTGAGAGACACACCGGAGATAGAGATGAGACCCCGAGAGAGAGAAAAACCGGAGATATAGAGTGAGAGAGAGAGAGAGAGGCCACACAACCGAGAGACACAGAGAAGAGAGGATACACACAAACAGAGAGAGAGAGAGAGAGACTAGACACAGCGACACAACACTTGAGAAGAAGGACACACCGAGCAGAGAGATCGAGACACAACACCTCGAGAGAGGAGAGAGAGATGCGACACACACACCGAGAGAGAGAGTCTCAGAACACACACACCGAGAGGAGAGATCTGCAAACACACCGAGAGATAGATATCGAGAAGCAACCACCAAGAGAGAGATCGAGACAACCCCCCGTCGAGAGAGAGAGAGAATCGAGACACACACCTGCGAGAAAAGAGAGATCGAGACAAACACCGAGAGATGAAAGAAGCTGAATCGATACACAAAACACCCCCGAGAGTAGTAGAGAGAGGATCGAGACACACACGAGAATATAGAGAGATCGGACAACACACCGAGATAGATAGAATCTGACACAACACACCGATAGATAATATCAGACACAAAGAACAACTAGAGATAGATCGCGGAACACCACAACACCTAAGATAGAGATATACTTACCACACCGATAGAGAGATAGATATCGAGACCAAACACACACACCTGAGAAGAGATATAGATCGGACACCCCACAAACCGATATATATAGATATCGATACCACACGATATAGTAGAGAAGATCTATACACACACAACCGAGAGAGAGAGAAGAGATCGAACACAAACACCGTATAGAGAGATAGTAGATCGGGAACCCACCCGGTAGAAAATAGCAGAGATCGTACACACCCCGAGAGAGAGAGAGAGTCGAGACACAGCCCGATAGAGAGAGAGACGATCGATACCACAACCCGAGAGAGAGAGATCGAGACACACCCCGAGAGAGAGAGAGATCGAGATCAGGACACCCGAGAGAGATCCTGAGACAACAACGATAGATCGAAACACACCCGCGAGATATACAAACCGAGATGAGGAGATCGATACCAACACACACGCGATAGAGATGCAGAGAGATCGGACACACGCACCGCAGATAAAGAGATATTTCGAGACCACACAACCGGATAAGAGAGATCGGACGAACCACCCGAGAGAGAGAGAGAAGATCGAGACACACACCGATAGCTAGGAGAGATCGAGACACCCAACCGATAGATACGAGAAGAGATCTAGACACCACCGAGAAGAGAGAGAGAGATATCGAGACAAACACACAACACCGATATAGATAAGATCGAGACAACACCGAGAATAGATGATATCGAGACACACCGAAGAGAGAGAGATCGAGACACACACCGATAGGAGATAGAGAGAACGGAAACAAACACAAACCGAGACGTAGAGATGTAGGATCGAGACCACACCCGATAGAAGAGGTCGAGACACACCGCCGATAGAAGATAGATCGATACACACCCCGACGAGGAGGATATCGAGACAACACCCGAGAGAGAGAGAGAAATCAGACACACCCGAGAGATAGAGAGAAGATCGAGACACAACACCGAGAGAGATAGATCGAGAACACACATCCACCTGGAGAGAAGAGAGAATCGGATACACACCACCGAGAGTAGAGAGAGATCGAGACCCACAATCCGAGAGAGATAGAGGAGATCGAGACACACACGAGAGTAATAGCTCGAGACAACACCCAATAGATAGTCGAGACACACACACTGTCTCTATATGATCCGTACAAAAAAAAACAACTATAGACATAGAACCCCGAGATAGCTAACGAAGGGAAAAAAACAACACCGAGATACGCGAGAGGGATAGGATAGATAGTAGATCTGAGACCACACACTTAGAGAGATCTTAGTAGATCGCTCGAGACCAGGCCCTCGCGAGATCGAAACAGAAGAGAGAGATAGATAGAGCGACAACATACACCTAGATACACACCTCTAGAGCTATCCAACACCCTAGATAGAGGAGAGGACATCCAGCCCGATGAGAGAGAGAGCGGAGAAGCCCACACCGATATCTAGAGAGAGAGAGAGAGAGAGAGAGAGAGACGCACCGAGAGAGATAGACACACCCCTAGAGAGAGAGATAGAACACCACAACACCGAGAGAGAGAGTGATCTGGGAGAGACCACAAGCCAAAGATACCGATAGGAGAGAGTCAATACAAACACCCCGAGAGAGAGAGTCGGACACAACCTGTATAGAAGAGAGATCGAGAGACACCCTAGAGCGATTATATCTAGAACACACACCGAGATAGAGATATCGAGACACAACACCACCTATATATAGATATATCGATACCACCCCGAGAGATAGAGAATCTATACACACAACCCACACCGAGATATAGATGATCGATACACCACCGATAATAGAGAGTAGAGAGATCGCTACAACAAACCACAACCTATATATGAGATATATAGTAGAGATCGATACACACACTATATATGAGGAGAGTATCGAAACACACAACCTATAGAGAGATGAATTAGCCTGAGACAAAACACACCAAAGTCAGAATAGATATATCGATACCAACAAAAATCACCACAACCCCTATAGCAGATATAATATTTATTCTATACACCCACCTGATATATATATAGATAGATCTGAGACACACACCGATTATAGAGTAGAGATCGATACACACCCTGATAGAGAGATCTAGAACACCCATAACCGATATATCTTAGATCGATACACACCCGAGATATAGATCGAGACACACCAATACCGAGGAGAGAAGATCGAGAACACAAACTTAAACCGCAGTAAGAGAGATCGAGAGCCAACAAACCGTATAAAATATTATTCTATACCACAGCTAGATAGCTATATAATCGGACCACCCTAGATAGATTATATATTATGTAGACAACACACTATAGAGATATACTATACACACATATAGAGAGATCGAGACACAACCCATATAGAGATATCTCGACACAACACCAAGTATAGAGATCGAGTACACACACCGAGAGAGAGATCGTACACCGATAGATCGAAACACACCGAGAGATGATACAACCTAGAGAGAGATGATCGAGACACACACCGAGAGAGAAGAGGTATAGATCGAGACAACACCCTATAAAGAGAGAGGCTCGATACAACCGAGAGATCGAAATACACAGAGAGAGATAGAGGATGACACAGACCCGAGAACACAAACCGGAGAGCGATACACCCACCGAAAGAGAGAGAGATACACACACACCGAGAGGAGGAGAGAGAGAGAGAAGATATAGAGAAACTCACCGTAGAGAGAGACACAACCGAGAGAGAGATAGGCCCCACAACCAACACCACACCCGAGAGAGAGAGATCGAGACCCCAACCGAGAGAGAGATGCGATCGAGACACACACCGATAGCTAGATATCGAGACACACAACAACACACACCTGAGAGAAGATAGAGATCGATACACAGACACACCGAGAGAGAGGGAGATCTCGGACAACACACAGAGAGAAAGAGATCGATACACACACAGAATAGAGAGATCGCGACACACACACCGGAATAGATCGGACACACAACACCGAAGATTGAGCTCGAGACACCAAACCTATAGAGAGATATCTAAGACAGAACCGAACGCCGAGAGAGAGGGATATATCGAGCACACACCCGAGAATTATATATATATAGACATTACACAACCGACCTACAAACCGAGAGAGAGAGTAGAGATCTAGACACACACCGAGATAAGAGTCGATAGAGCACACAAAACCGTATAGAGTAGATAGATCGAGACCACACCGATAGAGACATATATCGGACACACATCCGAGATGGAGATCGGACACACCCTAGATATCGAGACCACACCGAGATAACTCTAGACACACCGATAGAGATCACACCGAGAGAGAGAGACACACAACCTCGATACACACACAAACATCACACCGAGAGACCACAGATAGAGAGAGTTACACACACCGAGAGGAGAGAGTAGAGAGAGAGGAGACACCCTATAGAGACACACACACCTAGAGAGAAACACAGCGATAGAGAGACACCGAGAGAGAGACAGACACCCGAATAGAGAGACAACACCAGAGAGAGAGAGACACACACAGAGAGAGAAGAGAGAGACAGCACACATAGAGAGATAAGAGACATCACACAAAATATAAGAGAGACACAGATAGATAGATATAGAGATAACACACCAGAGAGAGGGGAGAGATCGAGAGCACACACAATGATAGAGAGAGCGGGGAGATAGAAGACCAACAAACCGAGAGAGATAGAGAGACAACACACCCAACAGAGAGAGAGACGATATATATGTTAGACGAGAAGATACACCACAAAACACCGTATAAGAGAGCTACAACCACACAAACACCTAATATAACCACCAAATACACACACAATATAAGTAGAGATATATATAGATACATATAATACAACACAACACACATAGAAGAGATACAAAAAAAACCATCAGAGATAGATAGATACTCAAACCATATATATATAGAGGAGATATATAAGAGAGAGATAGAGATAGATATAGAGATAGACAACCCACAAACCTAGAGGAGAGAGAGAGAGAAGAGTATAAGAGAGATAAGATAGATATAGATAGAGATATACAACAACACATAGACATATATACACCCAAGATAGAGAGCGAGACACACATCCTATATGAGATCGAGCCAAAAACACACAACAGTACAACACCTAGATATATATATATATAGATATCATACCCACACAACCTATATTATCTTAAGACACATCAAACCCTAGAGATTATATATATTCTAGACCCCCCACCGAGATATCTAGTATATAGGCTACATCCCATAACACACAAAACCTGATTATATCAGATATAAGAGATGAGGATACACACACTATAGAGGAGATCTTGCAACACAACTAGATAGGATCTCAAAATGAGAAAAATTAATGGGAAATGGGCAAAAAAATATAAACGAGATAACCACACGAGACAGAAGAGAGATCGATACACACCCCGAGAGACCGATATCGATACCACACCGAGAGAAGAGATCTAGACCAACAACGGAGATGCGACCACACCGGAGTCGAGCACACCGATCGATCGAACACCCCGAGGAGAGAACACCAGAGGAGACAACACACCCACTGGAGAGACACAACACCGGAACACACACCCAACCCGAGAGACCCCGAGAGAAGAGAGTTACCACACAACAAACCGATAGGAAAAAAAGAGCTAATATAGAGAGATTAGAGCGAGAGATAGACACACACCTATAGAGCACACCCGAGAGAGCAAACACACAACACCTAGAGATGAGACACAGACACCCGAGAGAGAACACCACAAACAACAAACAGATAGGAGACACCACATATAGATAGATACACAAACAGAGAGATATATATATATATACACCAGAGAGAGAGGATATCACACATATATATAGTATGACACACAAACCACCGAAGATATATAGTGTTAGAATATATACAAAACACCGAGGGATAGATAGATATACACACCAATATAATCGATATATATTGAGATAGATACACACCTATATATATATACACACAACCAGAGAGAGAGACTAGATAGAGAGATTGATAATATATATAGACACACCAACCCCCACCGTAGATAGAAAGAGAACCCCCCACCACACCTTATATACAGACACCATCATAGATATATAGTATATAACATACCCACACATATAGATATATACAACAAACACCACAGATATATAGAGAGAGATATATCTAGTAGAGATATACAAACAACCCACACATATATATATATATAAGATATATATATAGTAATATAGATATCATATATATATATATATATATATACATAACACAACAAAACAGTAATACACTCACATAGATATATATACAACACACAATAGATATATAGATAGACCAAAACACATATATAATATAATAATATAGATCTATAGATAATATATTATCATAATAAGATAACGCCATCTATATATATATATATATATATATATTAGATATATATATATACCTACTCTCTATATATCTCTAGTATCTCTCATCTCTCTCATCATCATATATATCTATACAACAACACATATACATAATATAAACACACACAGCTACATAATTCTAGTACATATATATAGTATAGCATATATATACTAAAATATCTACCTCCTTATTTATAGATATATTGCTCATATTATATATATATATATAATGATCACGCTCTCTCTCTCTCTCTCTCTCCTCCTCTCTCTCTATCTATAGATCCATATCTATCAATACTTAGTATCTAACTCCCTATATATCTAACCCTAATACCTATACCCGAATATCTCTCTCTATATCAGATATTACTCTCTCCTTCCTCCTCTCTGTCTCTCCTCTCTCTTACTCCTCTCTCTATGCTTTCCCTCCTCCTCTCTCTCTTTCTCTAGTGAACAACCACAAACCCATATCCCATAGATAGACACAGCTACCGCTAGATGCGCTAGATCTCCACACATATAGGAGAGAGAGAGACCACCCACATAGAGAGAGCGACCCACACCAGAAGAGATAGACACACACCACCTAGATAGCGAGACACCACACCTATATATAGATACACGACACAAGAGAGAGCTACAACAACACACAACACCCACCTATCTATACAAAAACAACACACACACAGAGATATCTAAATACAAACACACAACATAAGAGACACCCACCACACACACACCTGTATATATACACACACAAACATCGACACACCCCAAACCTAGAAGAGGATACACACAGACACACACACACGACCTATGATTACACACACTCCACACCTATATATAGACACACACACACACAATAACCTTATATAGACACAAACAACACAACACACAATACACGAAGCAAAACTTCTCACCTATATAGAGACGACAATCAACAAACCACACACATATATAGATACCACACACCATACACCTAATATATACACACACACACACACCCTATAATATTATACGACACACAAACCCGACACACCTATATGATATCACACACCACACAACACCTGTTATTATACACAAAACCCTACAATCCCCTATAATATTAATTAACACACAACAACACACCGATAGATCATACAACACCATCTCCCTATATACATACACAGACACAAAACACAGACAATTCAACCGAGAGACATACACACACAAACAACCGGATAACACAAACAAAACACACAACCAAACACACACACCGAAGAAGACAGGACAACAAATACCGCACACAAACAAAAAACAACGCAACACGGAGACAGATCAACACTCCCTAAGACCTACATACAAACAATCACAAACAACACCTATTACAACATACAAACAAAACCACCTATATAACCATACAACCACACCTATATACATACAGCAAACACGATAATACTACAGCTAACCAAAAAAAACCGAAGAACGACACACCTAATACACGAACAGAGACAACAAAAAACCCAGAACGACCGAGAGACATGACACAGAAAAAAACAACCTATATACATAACCCAACACTAAACAACAAAAACACCGAGATACACGACATCTACGATATATAGATATCGCGACCAACACTATATTGAAAGCCCTTGTGACCACGATATAGATATATATATATTTACAATATATATGTATATAACAATAGATATAATATTTACATATCTACACAGATATATAGAAAGCCTATAACACATAGATATATACCTATACACATATATCTATAACCTAGAACAAAAACATTATATATAACGCGTACATCATATTATATACCTAGAACAACAGATTTTTTACCAGATATACCTAATGACAATATGTAATACTTCCCAGTAAGAGAGAATATATACCCCTATATGATATATATAACCTATATATATCATATAACACCTTAGATATAATTAAACCTATATTACTTAAATTTTTTCTTTTTCCTAACCATACCCTCATAAAAAGCACCTTCGTGCCCTCATTGATGAACGTACTTCCTGTCGGTTTGTAATATCCAGCGTCTGTATCTCCGCACCAATGCTCATCATAGTGCAAAAACCAGTCCCCGCGGGGACAAAGAGCAGCCAACCAGTAGAGAGGTGAGGAGCTAAAGAGACAGCTCACTCCTCTCCTACCTGCACATAGATCAAACTACACCGGACAGGCACACCTAGACCCTTCACTACTTCCTCCTTTCTGCTCCGATTAAAGCATTGTGTGGCCATCCAAGAGAACAAGCAGTCTTAATGGGTATCATTCATGTAGCGTGTCGTGTGTAAATACAGGAGAGTGTGATGTGTGAGGTACATAAGCGTGTTCTTAGCCAGGTGTGGCACGTAAAACATCATGTGCTGGTCTGCTAGCCTCAGCGGGGGGGCTCTGTTACAAGGATACTCACAGCTGCCGCTCCACGACTTGAGCAGAGACTTGATGCTGATCTCAAAGAAGAGCGAATCCTGCAGGCTCAGCATGATGCCACTGAGGGTTGTGGGTACCCCAAAAATACACACCTCTTTCCCAAAACACACACACCTCTCCTCCTGAGTTAGAAGCCCAGTTCTACCCTCCAGAGGAGCTGGATATAGGAGTCATGGTGAACAATAGAACAGACACACCAGTCAGCCGCTGTGTGCAGAGAGGCCCATGGGGAAGTGTCAGACTGTTAGCTGGGTTCAGTGGAGAGTAAAACCACCCAGAGACACGGATAGAGAGCGTGAGGATCCTTAGAGCTGCATTCCATCCAAACGCCCGCTCGCGAGCCAATCCACTGAGTCCCTCATCCCGCTCCCAGCACTGACACAACACGGAGGTGAATGAATACCGCAGGAAAACTTTCCTCCCGGTGTGAGAGGGAGGAATGGCAGCGGAGCGGCACGCGGAAGAAGGACTCTTGACTCGGCGGAGCAGTGATATTCCCTCTTCTCTTCCTGTGTGTCGAGTCCTACCCTGCTACAGCTAGCACTGTTGACTATCTCCCTCCGCTTCTCTCTCCCTCTCCATTGGCTGGCGGACAACCCCTCCCCTCACTAACTAGCTCTTGTTCGCTCACTGATGCTTGCTGACGCTTTCTCTTCAATAGCTGGGTGAGGGGGGCTGGGGTGGAGGTGATGTCATCAAAATGCTGCGAGTGTTCCCTGGATATGGTCCAGCGCTGCTAACACATGTCATTAGAGCTGCTGCTGCGCTCCCTCTCTACTGGCCTATCAAAACTACACTTCCTGTTCTCTCCACAGCAATACTGATGCGTCATCCCCGACTGCAGTATGAGGGAGAGGAAGAACGAGAGAGAAAGAGAGTAAGAGAGGGGGGAGGAACTGGAAGAAAGAATAAGGAGGAATGAGGTTGACACGCACACACACACACACACAGCATAAAACCAAAAATTCTATTCAAACTCCATTCAGCACCTTTTTCAAAAAATACACCTAAAAAAATGTCCACCTATAAAAATTGATTTTGCACACACACCCAAACACCAAACACACAATGTAGCTATTAGTGTTGTCATTATACCAACATTATACTAACAATAAGATACCAGGCCAAGTATCAAGTATCCCAATAACGCAGGGGGGAAATTCTGAGTGGCCTAGCGTCTTACATATAGAATCATGAGAATCGCATATCGTATCGGCACCTAAGTATCGTGATAATATTGTATTGTGAGGTCCCTGGCAATTCCCAGCCCTAGGTACTACTGTATTCTAAAATGTTGGTATAATAAGTATCAGAGGTTTTGGTGCCGTGATTTTACGATGGTACCGGTATACCGTGCAACACTCGTAGCTATGCTGTCCAGAGAATGCTGCTCCATATTGGGCCATTTCACCTGTCTGGGGCACAGAACATGGCACACTGCCACCCACTGTAGCTGCTGCCCTCACCCACAAAGAGCATGGCATGATGGGTAGTAGGATCTGTTTGGATCAACAACAAACTGACACACCCATAGAAGTCATAGGATTACATCATAGTTTTTGTCCAGCAACTGCCATCAGACACAAACAAACCATTGGCGACAAACGCCCAGTGTGTGTTTGTGTCTCCTTTTAAACCCTGCCTGCAGACTGAAAGCGAGCCACATGACATCAACTGATGTGGTCATACACAGGATTAATTTTGTTCACAAAACATTCCAGAAAGAACAGATTAACACTAACAAAACATCTCTTTGTTTTTCTCAGTTCATAGCTCTTCTTTCTCAGTCTCTCACAACAGAACACAAGTTATGCAAAACCAAGCAGGGCTCTGCATTGTAAACAAACACTCCACAAAGGCCTGCTTGTCACACCCTGCTTGCCCTACTCTGCAGTATACTTACCAGGCATTTGGGAGCCTTACGATGGAAGGAGGAGTAAAGTGCACTGAATTACTTTGCCATTTAAACAAATAGGCCTACAGTAGGAAGGAGAGTTTTTGTGCATTGCTGACCATGATTGACCGCATGTGGCTGTGCCATTGTGTGGCATCGGTCCAAACACCAACATACTACGCTCTGCTGCAACTCAGTTTCTCTCTCAGAAGCAATGTTCCTCAACCAAACTCCTAACACACCTGATCATGTGGACTCTCTCTCTCACACCCACGGCTCATTTCTGAGATCTCTGTTTAGAATAAACACTATTCATTCCTTCAGGAATGCAGTACAACATACAACAGGATCAGCTCTCTCAGGTTAGATCAAACAGTAAACTGTCCAACGCAGAACAGGACATAATCAAAGAGCATTGGGCCCCGAGCAAGAATGTCAACAATGGAACTAAGCTATGCATCGCTTGAAATTCACATTTTAGCAATCGACTTTGATGACAGGCCTATCTGTACTAGTGCTCAAGGCTCAATTGAAAAAGACCATGGCAGTCCAGGTAGAGGCAGGCTCACAGTGTTCAGTAGGTGGAGTGATGCCCTGACAGCAGCTGATTGACAGTTGGCCATCCTGACTGGCTCTAATGAGGCCACAGTGAGGATGGAGGATGCATTTCCTGTCCATAGCGTTCTGCACAAAGTGGGGGTGGGAAAGAACAACAATCGATAGGAGCTGTAATTCAATCCCTGACCCATTTGACTATCAAATGCACAGAGCAGAGTCAGGGGAGAGCCACTTTAAGGTCACCCCACCCCAGCACACTGAGTTCCTCCCTACAATTACTAGCAGAGAGTTGCTGCCAGCCAGCCAATTAAGAACTAAACCTCATCTTAAACACACATAGCCCCTGGCTAAGTCAATTTAATTTATCATAGCCCCATTTTCATAGGCACTAGCTTCGATATGCTTTATGTTTTCCATTGTCGAGCATGTGATGGGTGAGTTATTTGGGAGTCTGTGAGAGTTCCAAGTGATTCATAGAACATTTGTCCCCTCTGCTATGATACAGTTTTCCCATAATAATTTTTTTCATGCTGAAGTTAAGTCACAGATAGTAGATGGGCATGTCCATCTACAGGGTTCAGACACATTTTGACAGATGGAATTTCATGACTTCCATTGCTTCTCCATGACTTTTAACCACATTTCCATGACCAACAATTGGCAGCGTCTCCATGTACGTATAAAAAAGTAAGCGTAATGTGGAATTGACACTGGGAGGCTGCTCTCTGATCCTTTGTACCATTTCCTGTCATTGTGCAAGGCACTTAACCCCCCCCCCCCCCCCCCCCCCCCCAAAGTAAAATAGCTGTTAGGTAACTGTATAAAACGCATGTGGACAACCCTCAGTCAGGAGAGCTACTGTGTGTGCAGGCTTTTGATCAAGTCCTGCTCAAACACATCAGGAGACAGTTTATCAAGGTCCGATTAAGCAGCTAATTTCTCAAATGTGGTTTGTTAGAGGACTGGAATAAAAGCCTGCACACCCATTAGCTCTCCTGGAGGATGGTTGACCACCCTTGATGTCTAACTGTGCAACATTACAACCAAATACGTTTTATGCCTTTTGATATATTGAATGAGCAAATTATTTCAAAGAACAAATGGCTATGGTAGGCTACAAATAATTTTTTTCAGCTGAAGCAAGACCACACATTTTCTTCAGGAAATGTACCTTTTTCATTACCAAATCAGTAACGAAATTACCACAACAACAAAACAAACAAACAAAAAAAACAGTCTGGACAACCCCTCACTCCTCCTCTCTCCTCTACAGTTTTGTGTCACTTCTCCCCGTTCTTACTGACACCTACCACCTACCCTCTTTCCATTTACTGTAACAAGCATCCTCACCCAGACACCGGACATCCATGGACGTTGAGAAGTAGTTGAAATTTGGTCAGTCCGCCCTGGACGGACCAAATCTGACTAAATCATAGACAATTAGAAGTCTATGTTTCGCAAGTTGACAGCAGAGTAGAGAACAGTACAATACTGTAGTCCCCTGTAGATCAGTTGGTAGAGCATGGCGCTTGCAACGCCAGGGTTGTGGGTTCGTTTCCCACGGGGGGCCAGTATGAAAATGTATGCACTCACTAACTGTAAGTCGCTCTGGATAAGAGTGTCTGCTAAATGACTAAAATGGAAATGTAATACAAAACAGTCAAGTAAAGAACATTACAGTAGAGTTCAGTAGCACACTAGAGTAGAGTACAGTATAATGTACTGTACATATCTACTTTACTGTACTGTGCTGTCCAAACCTGTGAAACAGATGTCTATTATTGTTTCAGCTTTGGTCTGGTCCGGACCAACCAAAATGTGTTGTTCTTTGGGGGCGGAGCTCATTACAATAACAGCCAGTGTGTAGAATAATACCCAAGTATGCAACCAAAAAAAGGATATTGCATATTTCTACCTTTGTGTACCTACTTGGGATAGATCATCATTAAGAGAATTACATTCATATCCATAATTATTAATTTTTGTATAGTACACCTCAAAGGACCCACGATGTAATTATGTTACCGTAATTCTGTTACCTGATGTAAATCCACTTCACCCGCTGTAGTTCAATAACCAAAATAAAACAAATCAAACTCAAGGTGTCATGTTATAGCTGACACCACATTCTTTCTGCAGACAGCTTTGAACCTCAATATGGAGCAGATATTTAACAGTTTAAGAGTCAAGAGATTTTGGAAAACGTGGTCGCATAAAAAAAAAAAAAAAGATTTTACCGTAATTCTGTTACCAAACTTTTCATCTACACAGTTCTTCCAGTAAATGTGTTTGTGACATTTTCTGTGTAAATTGTTTAAAGTAGTCCTTGTGCATAGAGTTGTATGGTTTGTTAAACTTTGAAATCAACGCTTTTTGTTTGGCATACATTTTTAAGTAAAAAATCTAATGTCAAAGCGTAATTCCGTTACTGTGGAATTGCCCAGATACCAAAGTTAGGCTACAAACGGTGTACAAAAAGTCAGCTAATAAGCCCATACCTAACTATTCACGTCACATATGTCTCCACATACAAAATTACCCCACATGCACACACCCGTGTTTAGTCACATTCACACCCTATGTTCAGAGGAAAACCTGCGGCGCCCTTTAACCAAATACGTCTCAATCAAATCATGCTCTGAAAATCAGCTGAACTCACATCCACCACTGGGGTGATGTCATTGTGTGCTTTAATTACAAACGAAAGAGAGAGAGCACCCCCTCAAAAGTCAACGCAGGCAGGGCAGGCCATGGCAGACAAGATGAGATCCTGAGGGCGTGGCACTGAATCATGTGGAAAGGGTGTGAGGCAGGACCTGTCCCAAACTGCAGAAAGAGCAGCTTTAAAAATGTCACTTTAATTCTTTAAGCTACACCACAAACTACAGTAGTCATCACGCACCCCTTCAACATTACACGCAACATTACCACCTTCATCAACATCAAAGGACTGTGTTCTTGTCTAATACAGCGGAAGGCAGTGTCCTGGTTGAGTAGAATGAAATGTTTTATTCAGGGTTTCTTCTCAGAGCCATAATTTGGGAGAGGTGTTCATCTGGGCCACCCACGTGTTCCACACAGGAAAGCCCCGGAGCAGGGAAGGGGGGTAACTTTCAACCAGGTAAAGTGCTACCCAATCATGTTCCACCGTGCTCTTGGCATGGATACGTTTCTGTGCAACTCAGCGTATGTCAAATCTAACCTGAATAGAGCCATCTCATTGTACTACATTAGGGATGTCAATATTAACAGTGTGGAGTTCAGTCAGAGTAAGACACTAATACTTTCACCCCGTCTTGCTACTGCTGCTACAGTAATTAGCTTTTGTGTCGTCTCGTAGACATGTAAGCGATCTCTCAACCTGGGGTCAAAATTGGTGTGTCTGTGAAGGTAATGCAGTGTGGCACTGTATTAAGGTGTAGCAGGCTGTCAGTGTGGACTAGCTGTAAAGCTCTTTCAGAGGGAGCGTTGGTTGGTTAGTTGGTTCAGCCATGTTTCAGGGACTAGCAAACGGAGAGCGAGCCTGTTATGACAGGCAAGGCCGAGGACAAAGCCATGCCCGTGTAGCTCAGTTGGTAGAGCATGGAGCTTGCAACGCCAGGGTTGTGGGTTCATTTCCCACAGGGGACCAGTATGAAAAAATATATGCACTCACTAACTGTAAGTCGCTCTGGATAAGAGCGTCTGCTAAATGACTAAAATGTAAAATGATAGACTGACGAGTTATCCCCCTGCTGACGATGGAAACCGGCTGGCACACATGCAGGCGCGCAAACACACACACGTAACGAGTTGCCTGTTGAGCTCTGACTATCAACTGAGATTAGTCTGGTCCTCCATTTTCAACCCAATAGTAAAGTATTTTTGTGAACATTTATTTGATGGCCCTTGAGAAACAAAAACATTCTAAAATGCCTATTCCAAGACATAACACTGAAGCAACAACTCCCCTACCATAGATCAATGGTAACGTGTACTACCTTCAAGCAAAAAACTCCCAACCAGCAACTCAAGTTCCGTTTCAGCATGTACAACACCCCTCAGCAACTTTGTGATAGCATATTTCACCCTCCTGTTAACTTTCATGTTCACTTTCACTGTGCCTTTCAAACAGAGCTCTCAGCCTGTAATAGCGGTGTGTGTGTGTGTGCGCATGTGAGAGCATGCTGCGTATGTGGAGAGTCAATAGTGAAGAAAAATCTATACAGTTACATATCAGGATATTATTTGACTATCTATTTTTTTTTTTTTTTTTTTTTTTCATTTAGCAGACACTCTTATCCAGAGCGACTTACAGGAGCAATTACTATTGTATCGTATTGACAACATCGCAATGTTATTTTTGCACTAATTGGCTGTACCTGCACCAAAACTCTTTCCTTCATAGCTTGTTCTCCATCTTAATATTTAAATAGGTAGCCAATTTGTTTTCAGCACTTTTATTTCCATGACTGATCAAAACCCATTTTCTCATGGCTCTCTCTTGTCCCTCTGCAGCAGACATATGCTGAGAAATATGTTTGGAGCATCGAATCACAATAAAGTCACAGTATTGAATCGCAATACATATAGAATCATGAGAATTGCAATACATATAGAATCGTGAGAATCGCAATACATATAGAATCGTGAGAATCGCAATACATATAGAATCGTGAGAATCGCAATACATATTGTATCGGCACCTGAGTATCGTGATAACGTATTGTGAAGTCCCTGGCAATTACCAGCCTTAAGTGTCAATGTCCCAGATCACTCACTACTACTGCACTAATGTTAACTCTTTCACACACAAGACATGTAGCTTTACTTTACCAGAAGTACTGATGTGACAGTACAAACCCTCCACCCTCTAACACTATATTACTGGGATTCATTCATGTGATCATGTCTCATTGGTATCACACGTTAGAAAGTTATTGTAGCGGATGACGTTATGGTTTACCTTGTACTAGGTCAAGATGATACTAGCTACTACCAGTGGAGAGCATTATACATTTTATGGGCTTAACGTTTCACTTTAGTATTTGACACAGTCGCACAAATAATTCAGCAACTTGATTGAGTGTTGTCAACAGAGGTCCTCGTTAAACATGAATGCAAATCTCTCTGTAGCCTAGATAAGTACAGGTGAGTCATTTTAAGAGAGTGGGCTCCTCCTACCCAGTGTCAGTCAGTTGGTCAGTACCTTTGATGGGCCTGGTGGTGGAGGTATTCACCAGACCCTGCTGGTCCTGATCGGTGGTCTGGCCAATGGCTAGCAGGCGCTTCATCCGCAGCAGACGGGGACCTGTCTCCCGGGGCAACGCCCCCCCAGACTCCACCCCACCCCCCATCCCCCGATATGACGGCCGGGACCAGACTCCTCAGAAACTCCATGTCTATCTGTATTAACGCTAGCTCACTCAGTCCAGCCCCCAGTCCAAATCCACACAGTCAGTCACTGTGTCACCCTGCTCCATCTTCCCACACAAAACAGCTACCTGGCTGTTTTCCACTGACAGCCAGGATACAGTCACAGCCACTCTGTCTGTCTGTACAGTCAGTGATATCATTGATTCCGATAGTCAGGCCTCAGACAGCCCATGAGAAGAGTGAAGAGACACTCAGTACAGAGAAGTAATATCAGTCTGTCGTATCCCCCTGCAGTGAAGAGTCAGAATGGGAGAAGCTTCCTGCTCAGCCAGAAACAGTACCTGTCTGCTCACAGAGGAGGGAGAAAGAAAACAGACATTGCACTCTTCCCGAGCAGTGATGTAATCAGGAGTGGGCAGAGCCAGGCAGGTCAGGTGCCAGGCGCTTTTAGGGGCGGGACCAGAACATGTTCCATAGGAGATAACACACGCCTGGGCCCCCAGCCAATCAAAACAGAGACGACACCGGCCCACCCTGCCTTGGCTTACCTCTCTTAGCAGAGCATGATGATAGCGAGAGAGAAGGAAGAGAGAAACTAGTCTTGGTGGTGAACGAATGAGAAGTTTAAGGGGTGACTCTACCCTCCGGCCCGTCTGTGTATACCGATTACCCCTATCGCCCAGGGAACTGTGTCATATGGTACCAGATACACATGCTCCAATTCCACATAAAACCCTTCCCTCCAGCAATTCTTTCACTTCCACTGTGTTGTTATTTTGTATGAAGCAGTAAATCTCTGAGATCAGGAGCGAATGAGGGGATGTGGCTTGTGACAGACAGGGTGATACTGTGGTTTGCTTGGCTGCTCAGCTCGTACCTGAATGACTGAACTCCTCTACTCCTCTAAAAACAGAACCTCCACTCTCAAGCTGAGAGAACACACATACAAACTATGCTGTATAGGCTACTAATTATGCATGTGAACATACATATCCAAACATAAAAACAAAAATCTAAGGTATTTGCACTCAAGACAAAATTGCCTTAACATGGGTTATGAAGCCCATTTAGAGAGCCGTTATAAAGAAAGCCCATTTTCTGCTGATTCATCATCACCATACATTTACATTTGACATTTGAGTCATTTAGCAGACGCTCTTATCCAGAGCGACTTCTAGTTAGTGCATACATTTTTCATACTGGCACTCACCATTTTTACATATGGTGAGTGCTTTAGTTTAGCTAACAGTGTGAATCGATATAGCGGAACCTGACCCCTCCCTCTGAGTGCCCTCTATAAACCTGATCTGAGAACAGCTAACAACCTAAATAGAACAACAAAGATAACTATCATAGAATCAGAATCCCTCTGTTCCGAGAGCTGTGCAGTAGACCGGTACAGACCCTACTGATGGAGGTTAACCAAGGACAGCTGTATTGGTGTACAGTAGGCTCTGGGAGGGAGGAGCCTTTGGTTTACAGTTCTGGCACAGTAGGAAGTAAAGATGACCTGCGACTCCCCCTACATTCACCAGCGGAACTGCAACAGGGACTGATGTTAAACAAACAAATATGCAACCAAACTGAATGCAAACCATATCCAATTTAAAAACACTTCAGCCACACTAACTGTGTGTGTGTGTGTGTGTGTGTGTGTGTGTGTGTGTGTGTGTGTGTGTCCAACAAAATGCTCACTCATAGAGGAAGTGCTCACACCCTTTGGTGCAGCATGTGAACATGTCAGTGAGATGATGTAACGGTTTCAGTGCCACCACAGTGTAAAGCGCCTGATGGTGAGAGAAGTGACTATAAAAAAAAACAGAAACTTCAGTCAAAACACTTTGTACCATCCATCTATTTCTTCACACTTTGGTTTTCAATTACATTCAGTATTAAATAACTAATTTGGTTGTGTACGCATAAAATCAGCAGTGTGGCATGATACAGCCAAATAAAAGACAGGGCAGGAGTGGCCTGTACGGTGTTGGCAGTCTGTTGCAGCTGCCCTGCCCTCTAGAGGCCAGCCTGCAGAGTGCACTGCACTGCCAGCACAAAGAGCATTGTTCAGAGGTGATGAAGGAACCTTTGTGTGGAGTTTATCCCTCTCAAGGCCCTGTCTATTCCTTTTAAGAAGAGCAGCCCCTGCACGGAGAGTGGAAACATGATGAAATCACAAAGACCTGGACTTTCACAATATCTATGTTGCATTGGTGTGACTAGGGGTTATGTAAAATAGTATTCTACGGATTTCAGTCCAACCAAGTGATATGTTCACTGAAGAAGTTAACTCCCAATCCCCACCAACAACTGGTGGCCCAGCCAAAGAGAGACATGGATTATTGCGATAATTTCGTTTTAACATTGTTGTTCTAATCTAGATAATACTATGTCGCCAAAGCAGATATAGTGCCTTCAGAAAGTATTCATACCTCTTGACTTATTCCACATTTTGTTGTGTTATAACCTGAATTCAGAATTAATTTAATTGATTTTTCCCCTCTCACCCATCTACACACAATACACCATAATCACAAAATGATTTTATTTTAGGTTAAAATGTTAGTAGGCTACATTTACTGAAAATGAAATACAGAAATCTCATTTACATAAGTATTCACACCCCTCAGTCAATACATATTAGAATCACTTTTGGCAGCGATTACAGCTGTGAGTCTTTCTGGGTAAGTCTAAGAACTTTGCACACCTGGATTGTACAATATTTGCACATTATTCTTTTTAATATTCTTCAAGCTCTGTCAAGTTGGTTGTGGATCATTGCTAGACAGCCATTTTTTAAGACTTGCCATAGATTTAAGCCAAAACTTGTAGGACAATTTTTTTATTTGTTTTATTATTCGCCTCAAACAGCATAAACAACGTCTGTTTTTACATCCATTGAGAATGACAATAGCTCTTCAACGTAACCTATTTGTAAAATCTTTTGATAACCACTCCGCATGAAAAAGGGGGGGAAAATGGAATGCTCTGATCCAGTGGAAGCGTCAGAATAGGCCTACCTGATTACTTCTTATTCCTTGGGCAAATAGTCTACAGCTGTGTCTGTCTGTCCGGAGCTCACTGGCAGGGAAACTGAGGGCCAAGAATATTTTATACAATGTTGCAAGTTTGCTAGCACAATCGGGATGGACCAAGTTAATAGTTGATACAATGTTTCAAGTTCCTTGCAGACAGGCCATGCATAGCCAATGTGATTTATAGGATATTTTCTACCTGTAGGCTGCAATGTTTTTATTTGTTGGTTTATTTAGGCTATTTTTACATATTGGCAATAGAAGTTACTTTTGAATTTGTATCATTTTCATTTAGATAGAATTTTGATTAACCACATGACATGGATTTGAAATTAAACTGTTCCATGAAAATCTGCATATGAAAATCATAGCTGGCACGCAGATATGGTACGATAACTTGGCACTCCAAATAAAACATGTTTTTTTCTTCTGGTTAGGCTATATTGATCTCTGGCTCCATCTTTAGTAATTTGTGTCTTCATTTTTAGTCGCAGTGCTTAAAGCATCAGACAAGCTCACTAGCCTACATAGAGTTGATTTTATTCAAAACACAGGGTGTGTCTACAGCGGGGGAAAAAAGTATTTAGTCAGCCACCAATTGTGCAAGTTCTCCCACTTAAAAAGATGAGAGAGGCCTGTAATTTATCATAATAGGTACAAGTCAACTATGACAGACAAAATGAGAAAAATTTTTTCCAGAAAATCACATTGTAGGATTTTTTATGAATGTATTTGCAAATTATGGTGGAAAATAAGTATTTGGTCAATAACAAAAGTTTCTCAATACTTTGTTATATACCCTTTGTTGGCAATGACACAGGTCAAACGTTTTCTGTAAGTCTTCACAAGGTTTTCACACACTTTTGCTGGTATTTTGGCCCATTCCTCCATGCAGATCTCCTCTAGAGCAGTGATGTTTTGGGGCTGTCGCTGGGCAACACAGACTTTCAACTCCCTCCAAAGATTTTCTATGGGGTTGAGATCTGGAGACTGGCTAGGCCACTCTAGGACCTTGAAATGCTTCTTACGAAGCCACTCCTTCGTTGCCCGGGCGGTGTGTTTGGGACCATTGTCATGCTGAAAGACCCAGCCACGTTTCATCTTCAATGCCCTTGCTGATGGAAGGAGGTTTTCACTCAAAATCTCACGATACATGGCCCCATTCATTCTTTCCTTTACACGGATCAGTCGTCCTGGTCCCTTTGCAGAAAAACAGCCTCAAAGCATGATGTTTCCACCCCCATGCTTCACAGTAGGTATGGTGTTCTTTGGATGCAACTCAGCATTCTTTGACCTCCAAACACGACGAGTTGAGTTTTTACCAAAAAGTTCTACTTTGGTTTCATCTGACCATATGACATTCTCCCAATCCTCTTCTGGATCATCCAAATGCACTCTAGCAAACTTCAGACGGGCCTGGACATGTACTGGCTTAAGCAGGGGGACACGTCTGGCACTGCAGGATTTGAGTCCCTGGCGGCGTAGTGTGTTACTGATGGTAGGCTTTGTTACTTTGGTCCCAGCTCTCTGCAGGTCATTCACTAGGTCCCCCCGTGTGGTTCTGGGATTTTTGCTCACCGTTCTTGTGATCATTTTGACCCCACGGGGTGAGATCTTGCATGGAGCCCCAGATCGAGGGAGATTATCAGTGGTCTTGTATGTCTTCCATTTCCTAATAATTGCTCCCACAGTTGATTTCTTCAAACCAAGCTGCTTACCTATTGCAGATTCAGTCTTCCCAGCCTGGTGCAGGTCTACAATTTTGTTTCTGGTGTCCTTTGACAGCTCTTTGGTCTTGGCCATAGTGGAGTTTGGAGTGTGACTGAGGTTGTGGACAGGTGTCTTTTATACTGATAACAAGTTCAAACAGGTGCCATTAATACAGGTAACGAGTGGAGGACAGAGGAGCCTCTTAAAGAAGAAGTTACAGGTCTGTGAGAGCCAGAAAT